ACCTACCTACCTACCTACCTACCTACCTACCTACCTACCTATATATCTACCTACCTACCTACCTACCTATCTATCTACCTACCTACCTACCTACCTACCTACCTATCTACCTATCTACCTACCTATCTATATATCTACCTACCTATCTATCTATCTACCTACCTACCTATCTACCTACCTACCTACCTACCTATATACCTACCTACCTACCTACCTACCTACCTACCTACCTACCTACCTACCTACCTACCTACCTACCTATCTACCTACCTACCTACCTATCTATCTACCTACCTACCTACCTACCTACCTACCTACCTACCTACCTACCTACCTACCTACCTACCTATATATCTACCTACCTACCTACCTACCTACCTACCTACCTACCTACCTACCTACCTACCTACCTACCTACCTACCTACCTACCTATATCTACTACCTACCTACCTACCTACCTACCTACCTACCTACCTACCTACCTACCTATCTACCTATCTACCTACCTATCTATATATCTACCTACCTATCTATCTATCTACCTACCTACCTATCTACCTACCTACCTACCTATCTACCTACCTACCTACCTACCTACCTATCTATCTATCTATCTATCTACCTACCTACCTACCTATCTATCTATCTATCTACCTACCTACATACCTACCTACCTACCTAACTACCTACCTACCTATCTACCTGTCCGTCCGTCCGTCTATCTATCTATCTGTCTATCTATCTGTTTGTCTGTCTATATATTTCAACTGATTGCATTGTTTTCAGAATCAGGATTTTTTTGGGAATAATCACAACTCTCATCAAAGTCAAAAGGAAAGTGATGCTGGCACTGTGGACTGCTTTCTCAAACACGTATATGTATATTTATGATTCTGATGTCATTCTTAGCAAGTCTGAGGGCAAAATAAAGTCAAGAAAAAATGTTGAACATTATGCATGGCTCTGTGAGTCCTGACAATACACCAACCTGACGCTGAAGGATCAAAGCAATTTGAGTTAACTATGTTATTGAAAAATCTCTTGTTATTTTATTTTATACTATAAAAATAGAGAGAAGTTTTATGACTAATTATAGAAATGAAATGTAAAAGTAAACAGATTCAGATGAAGGCAAGAACAGCATGCCAAAGTAGAGTTGTGGCGTGTGTTTGAATTAAGTGTGTTCAAAAATGCAAAATATTCAGCAGCCAAATACAACGATATGGTCTGCAGCCGCCGCCGGTTGCCATGACAATCCATGGCACAGTGGAGCAGACGTCTCTGGTCTCCTGCCACCGGCTTTGAGAGGCTGAGCCTCAACGCTCTCTCACTGTTGACCCAAGGTAGAGCAACACAAACACACTCTCTCTCCTCAAAAAAACACACCGGCTGCCCAATCACAGCCTCACAGGGTCACAGTGATCCGTTGTAACAACCCCCCACCCCCCACCACTACCACCATCTATTCGCTCATTTCATATGCACTGGCAGACACTCCATATAAAAAAATCCAGCAAATAAACGGAGCAGGAGACATTCCTGAGGAGCTGCAGCTCAGCTCTCCTCCAGTACATGTTCAGAGACAGCCAGGTGGACATGTGTCTCTGCAGCTGACGCTGGGGTGACTGATTGCACTTGAAGCTCACACAGGGAACAAGATTGACTCTGCGTTGGAAAACAAACTCAGAGGTTGTTTTCTGCGTGTGTCTGGAACTTGGAGCGCAGATTTAGGCAAGTCCTACACACACTTGGCCAAGATACATCAGAGCTAGTCCAAAACACACTTCACATCCCTGTGCTGAGCCACTCGGGCAAATAAATTAGAGTGTGTGACTTTCCCTCAGCTTTACTGCACATAGTTCTGAGAAGCTTTCACTTTAGCTGAAGGCACTCGCATTGTTGTCCTACATCTGACAGCAGAGAACACGGTGGAGACGTCGGGCTGCGAATTACAATTACTGTCATCATTGATGGTTTGTTTCAGTTCATTCTTTGGCACATACATAGTCCGACAATTGTAGAACTTTGCTAGTGGAGCCTCGCAGCGGCGAAACCGTGCCGCGCCACACTAATTGCGCCGCATAAGCGCATAGGTGCGCCGCATTTTCGGCTCAGTTGAGGCACCCTCCGCAAGATGAGGCCCCCTCCGCAAGATGAGGCCCCCTCCGCGAGGTGAGGCCCCACGCAGTCTGCATGATCGGCCTGTAGGGAGGGACGGCCCTGATTCAGACTGCTTCTTCTTGAACCTCTCCAGAGCGCTGCGATGATGACACTGTTACAGTCAGTGTTGAGTTCACACCAACTAAAAACTCTGATTCCCAGGTTCTCCAGGTGGAACTAAAGTCTGATTTAAGACTTGATTATATTTCACATTATTCATCCAAATCTGTAAAGTAACTAAAGGTATTAAATACCCGCGCTGGGGAGTACACCATTTACCTCTGAATTGTAGTGGGGTAGAAGTACAAAGTAGCAAAAATGGAAATACTGAAGTATAAGTATACCTCAACATTTTACTTAAGTACAGTACTTCATACTAAATGTACTTAGTTACTTCCCACCTCTGCATGGCAGCGTACTCACACTCAGTCCTGGCTGACGTCCCGTCCTCTCCTGAGCGTTTGGGCCGGTCGTACACAAATCCAGAACCCAGGGGGGAGCCACCGAGGACGGACAGGATCCACACACACTGAGACACACACACACACACACACACACACACACACACACACACACACACACACTGACATTAGAGCGGCTGCAGAGGCAGAGCACAGAGGAACAACACAAGATCTCACTGTTTAGCAGTTTTTCTTCACACACATTGTGGATGTGTGGGTCTATGAATCCTAAAGATAGAGATGATGGGATATAACGTGTGATAACTCCTACTTTATAAAACATACGTAAACTGTTGTTCAATAACACTGATGTACAATATGTACGTAGTTTAACATTCTTATTACTACTGCTGCCTCCTTAGTTTGACAATTGTAATTGTCTGTAAGTAACTCTGTGCAGTATATCATTGTACCTGTGTTATCTAGCTCTACCACACCACATCCTATGGTACACTTTTATTTTATACAAACTGCTGCTGCTGCTACTTTTTACCCGCATGTGTACTTTGTAAATTGTAATAACTTTTATTTTTTTAATATGATGTGCATGCCCTTTATCTAATAGTGTTTTATTTTGTGTCTCTATCTGCACTTTTGCTCTAACAAATGTCCCCTCTTTGGGACGAATAAAGTCTGATTCTGATTCTAAACATTAGGTGTGAGCGTCTTCAGTGAAGTCCTGCTCATAGGTGAAGAGCTTTTACAACACGACTTTGAGTTTTTAGACAGAGTATTTTTAATAAGATCCAAGGCTTTATTGTCATTTGTACATTAGCTACAGTGTAGATATGTCAATGAAAAACGTAGGTCACAGGCTCCTCCAACAGTGCAACATATATATATCTAGGACATAGACAAATATAACAGATAAAATAGTGCAAGTAAATAGAAATAAAATAGAAATAGTGCAAGAAGAGTCTATATACAAGTAAATGGAATATGATTTGGGTCATATGAGAACATATGACCCACAGAGAACACAGTCGGCTCCAAAATAAACCTCATAAAAATGTGAAAGTTTGTGAAGCATTAAAACCTAAAAATGGAGACAGAGATAATACTGAATTATAAAGCTCTTCTTTTATTGGATGTGGTCTAACACAGCTCCTGCTGGCTGCATTTCACGATGACCTGTCAACACCGCTGCCGTGTTTAGTTCAAAGTGAATAGGGACCTCCTGCGGCTGCATGACAATCACCTTCAGTCGGTTCACGGATCTAGAATGGTTCTGTGAATGCTAAACAGCACGAAGGAAATAGTGTGTATTCCGAAAGATCTAAGAAACCGGGAACATGCCCTTTGATCACAATGAAAAACTACCAGAACACACGGTGAAATGCGTAAAAGCGCACGGATTTACGCACAGAGATGTCTCCTCTCAGGAGTGACCTGCAGTTAAAAAGGGAAAGACATGAACTCCTACCGTACCAGTTTGTGAAGCAACATGTTCCTGTGTCGGTGAGCGGGTCCGGGCTGTGATGCTGACTCCGGCACCGAGGGACCACCGAGGCGCGAGCAGAGGGAGGAGGAAGTGAGGTGGGGGGGGGGAGTTGAGGGTAGGCAGCGGACCCGCTTCTTATTGGTGTTGGGCTGGAGGAGGGATTCAGAGATCCAGGGGAAAAAAAATTGAACGGGGGGGGGGGGGGGGGAAGTCTGCAGACACAATTTCATCTCGTGTGTGGGGGGGGCTCCGTCTGTCAGCGCCTGTTTGTGTGCCATGCCAAAGGATTGCGGGTCAACCCAGGATAGGCAAGAGAGATAAACAGAACTGTGTGCAAAACAGCCGTGAGCAAATCACTCAATCTGCGAACAGTACCACCTCTTTCATTTATTTGGTCACTTATTTGGTTCAAAATATATTGCTACTTAGTTTTGTTTTTTACCATGATGGTTGTTTACTTAATAAAAAAACATGTTGAATTCAATTCGCAATTGTTTTATTTTAGTTTGAAAGTGTTTATATTATTGTTGCTATGTTAATATATATTTTTTAAAGAAATTAACGAAAAATGATTATTGTCCCCAAACACTTCTGTGACTGCACCAACCTCAACATGTTCAAATCACAAATCAGAACGCACCTTTTCAGAACTGCTTTCAATCTGTATATCATGTTGTGTTTTATATATTTGAAGTGTGTTCACAGGAGTTCACAGGAGGTTATCAAAAACCAGAACCAGGTTTATTACAGAGCAGGTTTACAGGGGTTTGCTTTGGTGTGTATGGTGCGTGCAGACACACAGAGATATGTTGTAAGAAAAGGACCAAAATAATACAACTATTATAATAAACTATTAAAAAAACTATTATAACATAACGTAAAAAAAAACTAAGTTCAGTATAATAAGACAAAATGTGGGATGTTACGTGGAGAGCTGTGCAGATAAAATCATATTTATGATCAGACAATGGAAACACACACGCGTTGGAAAAATTAAGACAAAATGTTGTTCCAAAACACAGACTCCCATCAGGGGGGGGGTGTTTACTCAGGTAGACCCCTGAAGCCATTCAACAGCACAAAAAGGATCCCATGGCACATAAGAAGTTTCTCATGAATCTCAGCATGGAGTTCTACAATGAGATCAGACAGCTGCAGGACGAGAAGGACAGCGTCTCCCAGGAGCGGAGCACCAAGCTCAGGGACTGGGGGGTGGGGGGAGAGAGGGGTCTGCTGCTGCTGCAGATAGAGAGGCTGAGAAATCAGAACTAGTTGCACACAAGAGGACGTTCCTGATGTAACGAGGGCAGACATGGAAAAGTGGAGTCCTAAACGTAACAGGTTTAGGTTTTGGTAGAAGAAGAAGAGATGTTGAGTCCATTCAGCCTGCTGAGCCTACTGAGATATCTCAAAAGTATGTATTATCTATCTGGGCCGAGAAGAAGACAACTATAGGGGTCAAAGGAAATTGAGAGTTTGGCTTTGACCCAGAGTACAAAAGCGGTCAAAGAGGGAAAAACACTGAGTGAAAACACAGAGGAGAAGAATGTGCCTTTCATGGTGAGTCCACATGAGCCATCGTGAAGTCTGCTCGCCTGAGGGTCCAAAGAACAACCCGACTCTGAGCAGGATGTTAGCAGTGACCTCAGCAGGTTGACAAACCTGGAAGACGACACAAATGGAAACAGTTGCAGGTCAGAGAAGACGAGTGAGAAGTCAGGAGGTCCCTCAGTGAGGACAAAGGCCTTCAATGTTGAGAGCATTAAGACTTTCTCACCTTTGGATAAGTCCTTCGCTTTCAGTACCCTTTTGAGTTGGTGGGCTCCCTAAGAACTTGGTGTTATAGCGAGTTTCATTACTGTTTCCGCCACGGCTCTAAACATAAGATTATATATTGCACTTAGTTTAGGCTTCTTTGTATGATTACATGCATGCACTTTAAGAATTCTGAACAAAAATCCCTAACTATTTTAGTTTGATGCCAATAGGAAGGATTGAGTGTCAGTATGGACACGTTTTAGTTGTCAAGCTTGTGAAAGGAGGCAAACAAATTCCTTTATCTGATACATGCCAAGTATAAAGGCAAACACAACATGGAAATATATTCTTCGCTTTGTTAGCAGTTTCATCTAAATGTCAAAATATGTCAAGTGTATAAATTCCAAGATATAGTTAGCATACCAGAATTGATCAGCTAAAAGTAATGGAATCATCTAGTTGATGAATACACGTGTCTTTCATTATTAATGATGACAGTTTGTCAACAGAAAAATATATTTTACACTCAATACAGACTATCATTTTAGGGAATGATTGTTGATGGACACCATTTTATCCATGTCAATATATTTGAGCTTTAAAATTGTATATACCTTGTATATCCCAGAATAACAGTACAATGGTCAATTTAAAACTGTATCAAAATTCTGCTAAAATAAATAAATGCACACATTTGACCCAGGTTAAAACCCAGCCAGCCTCAGTCACATGTTTTGGCTCTATCCAAAATGGACCCGTTTTTGGACTGGTATACTTAAAACCTTTTAGTATGTGTAATACAGCTATAGATGCTAACCCATCGACTGCATTATTTGGCGTGGTCCCACAGGAGACACGAATAACAACTCATCAGGCTGAGGCTGTGGCGTTCTCTACCCTACTTAAAGGTTGTTACAATTGAAATTATTTTAGAGAGGCTTCAGATTGTTACGGATTACATTTGTTGGCAGCAGCATTATTGATTTGTTTAATTTATGATCCCCAGCTCCAGTGGTCAGCATGTTGGTGTGTCCTTGGGCAGTAACCCCTAATAGCTCCCAATGGCCAGCGGTGTGTGAGTGTGTGAGTGTTAGGGTCTCATGATGGCAGCCTCTGCCTCTGTATGAAGGAGTGTGAATGCTGACATTTAAAAGTGTTTTGAGGGGTCATAGCCTTCAGAAGATTATTGTGTTTAACAATAACTTCTGAAAGTGACTTTTAACAAATGTCAGGAATCTTTACACAATGTTAAGTCTATTTATTTGATTGTTTATTTAGGCGAGTCTGATTCAATAAGAATCAAAATGCTCTAAATGAGGAACATTGAATTATTCTCAGTGTTCCACCTAATCAAAGCTAAGAAACAGAGCCAGAGTAAATGTACTCATACATGGAATCTAGTATAACATTCATGAATACAAAAGTGTCTTTCATTATCAATGATGACAGTTGGGAAAACAAAACATATTTAAAAGAAAACATACTAATATAACTTGAGTTTCACTTGTGGACAGGAGATGTTCAGGGCAAACAGGAGATGTCATTAAGATGTTGAAGACAGACGCTGTACTCCACACCCCCGTCATCAATCTCCCCTCACAGCCTCACTGAAGGCCAGGGCCGAGCTGTGGGATGAGGCACACCAGAGTGGTCTGTGGGGGGGGGGGGAGGGAGGTTGTTGCCTGTTTGTGGAGAGAGGTGTGTGTGGTTGCATGCCTCAGACAGATTGGAAGCGGTGTCAAAAGTCCACAAACCCCAGCATGGTGTGTGTGTGTGTGTGTGTGTGTGTGTGTGTGTGTGTGTGTGTGTGTGTGTGTGTGTGTGTGTGTGGCTCTGGAGGGTTTTCCTCTCTCAAACTGACCGCTGAGAAATTCCGTGGTGCCATTGATCTGAGGACTACATCATCCTTTCCTTGTATGTGTATCCTAATGGGTCTTCCTAAACTGCCATGTTGTGTCTCCGTGCTCAGATGTGTGCAGTTGCCCTCAGTCGGAGAGCGAGGGCGAGTGCAGCGACCTGCCGCTGGCCGGGCTGTTGCTGTAGGCGTGGCCCCCGTCCCCCCTCTCCTTCTCCTTGTCCTTGCTCTCATGTTTGTGCTTGTGCTTGTGCTTGTGTTTGTGCTTCTTCTTCTTCTTCTTGTGCTCATGATGGTGGTGGTGATGGTGGTGGCCGTGCTCCCCGCCGTGTTTGGAGGTTGAAGAGGTGGTCTCCTTGGAGAAGGAGGGCACGGGCGTGGCAGGCATGGAGAGCATGGACTGCTCCACTGACGGAGGCTCTTTACCTGAAAACAGGAGGAAGAAAGGTGTGTCACCAGGTGAGGGCTTTTTTTAGAATGTGTGTGTGAGTGTGAGTGTGAGTGTGAGTGTGAGTGTGTGTGTGTGCTCACCTGGTGTAGAGGGTCTCTCTAACAGGTTGAGATGATGGTGAATGAAGGCCTGACTATCATGAACCGTCTCCATATCGATATCTTCATCTTCCATTGTGTTGAACTACAACAAGCAGACTAGATGTTAACACAAATAACAGAACATCATCATCATTCATGAACTAATGACCTGAGTAAAGCAGAGAAGAAAATACTTGAGAAGAGTTAAAGGGGACCTATCATGCAAAATGCACTTTTGTACGTCTTTTATACATGAATATGTGTCCCCGGTGTGTCAGGGAACTCACCAAGTGTCAGAAAACACAACCCTCTCTCTTTTCCTCCATACCCAAATCTCTAAAAAAAGGGGCTGCAACGGATCTGATACAGACTGATACAGATTTGAAAATTCTCTGACGTCAGGAACGAGGAGCTCCGCCTATATGGCCAACTCTCCACCTATCAGGGGAATGTGGGGTCGGGCCATGGCCGGCCATTGCCGCTCGAAAGCGCTGGAGACGCTGTAGTACATATGCCAGGCCTGTAAGTGGCGCTGTAGTCTGCCACAAAAGCAGCGAAGAAGACTTCCCGCGCATATGGTAACCATGGTTGCCCTTCTGTTTATTCCCCGCTGTGGCTCTTTTTCTCCCTCCCCGAGGCAAGCGTTTGCTCCTGCTGCTGTAATTCAATGCAGTCCCTCCCCGTCGAGGCAAGCACTGTAATTCTCTCCGGTTAGTCCACCAGCAGATGACAACCCACCTCTCCGCCTCTTCCAAGGAACGAGGGGACAGTGCGGCAGAGTTTCAGTTAGATTTTTTTTCGCCGGTCAACATGTCTGTTAAAGTTTAAATCTTCCGGACAAAATTAGAAAAGTGCTGGTCAAAGGTCTTCTTTATTGAGCTTTAAAACAAACTAGAGAATGCAATTCCTGAAGAAATTGCTAGTGGGAATGCTTTATGCTGAAAAGCTGACGCTAAACTGCAATGCCGAAATGTAATGTGTAAGAAGAAAGTGAATAATTTAGATTGAAATGATACATGAACACTGGGGGCTTGAATGTGTGATGAGTGAAGAAAAGAAAGTAAAAGGCTTGGAAAAGCAGCAGAATATTTGAACTGCAAACAGTTGAATTAACTTGATGGCGAATGATCTGTTGCCATGCCAACGGCATTTGATGACATCCCATAATACGCTTAGATGCGTTGATGGCTGCATCGTTACCAAACCTGTGAAGTTTTGGGCCGTTTGGAGCATTTTCACTGAAGTTATGAGAAAACCGTGTTTCATGGCGAGCCTTGTGTTACCATGGCAACTGCATTTGAAGAAATCTCAAAACTCTCACGTAGATGTCGTCATGGCTGGACTGTTGGCACACGTGAAGTTTGAGCACTTTTTGAACACTTTCATAGGAGTTATAGCGACATCGTATTTTATGGCGAGGGATGCGTTTCCATGGAAACGGCATATGGTGAGATCTCAGATTTGGCGTAGGGCTGTTGAGGCATGGACCGGTGATATACAAGTGAAGATTGGGGGACGATTGGACCGTGTCGATTGGACTTACAGCGACATCGTGTTTCATGGCGAGTTGTCTGTCGCCATGGCAACGGCATTTGATGACACCCCATAATACGCTTAGATGCGTTGATGGCTGCATCGTTACCAAACCTGTGAAGTTTTGGGCTGTTTGGAGTATTTTCACTGAAGTTATGATAAAACCATGTTTCAAGGCGAGCATTGTGTTGCCATGGCAACGGCATTTGAAGAAATCTCAAAACTGTCCCGTAGATGTCTTCACGGCTGGACTGTTAGCACACATGTGAAGTTTGAGCACTTTTTGAACATTTTAATAGGAGTTATACATTACATTAGGAGGTTACATTACTCTCTCTCTTCTCTTGATTGCCCTCTCTCTTCTCTTGATCGCCCTCTTGATCTTCGGCATATGATAATGACACCCCATAATTGACGTAGAGCTGTTGAGGGCAGGACCATTATCCTTTATCTGAAGTCTGCTGCTCTGAGCATGTCAGTTGGAGTGATGACATCATCGTGTTCCATTACACAGGTGTTTATAGTTGAGCTAACGAGCTCTGCAGAGATCATAGGTTTCCATTGTTCACCTGGAGATAAACCTCTTACATGTGAACGTTTTGTGGAAGAACCATAACAGATATCTGTGAAATTTCAAAACGTGAAGCATGTCAAGGAAGTTGAGTATCTGAAGTGTAATTTTTGTGTACTTTCGGGTTAATAATGTGGCCTTTTTGGCCGTTTAACTAAAGGTGTGCGGCTGCTGCTGTGAGGAAATATCAGCCTGAAATTACAATGGGCTTTAATGGAGACATGTTGAACGTTTTTGTCACTTCATGCCCTCAAGAGGCATTTTGTTTAATTATTTTTTGCTTAATTATTTGTCATTTTTCAAGCTACGAGATGTTTTCCTACGTTTGTCATGAAAAATTATGTCTCAGGAATGTAGGGTTTGGGAATTATGGCAGTTAAAAAAAAAAAAAATGAAGGCAAATTTCAAGATTTCCTACCCTCTAGCTGTGACATCACGCACTCTGCCTTAACAAGCTGCGCAATGTTAAAGTTAAAATGTTAAAAATGTGATGTATTATGGGATGTATCTCTGGAATTATGAAAGTTATGAATGATAAAAATAATAGCCTGCGATTCCCGACCGAGCTGAACGTTTTGATATTTGAACAGAGTTTCTGCGATGTTGAATGTGGGAGGAGAAGAGGGCCAAAATAAGTCAGTGGAATAATAAACTTTTTGTCCGTAGCATAACATATAGTTGGAATGCTGTATCAGCATTCCCACTAAATGAATAACGACTCTATATAATCATATAAGAATAAAACACGGAGGACGGAGATCTCTTTTCCTCCCCCTCTTCTGAGAGCCCAGCAGCTGATCTCAAAGCACGCTCCCCTCTCCTGCAGGGGGGCGTGGTCAGCTGCAGCTCATTTGCATTAAAGCTATGTCACAGAAATGAGAGCGAAATGAGGCATGGCTAAAATGCATGATCTGTTTGGTATTTTGAAAAAAAAACTAAACAGACATGTTTTATATAGGTATGGCCCTACAATATATTGTTCAAATATAGCATGATAGGTCCACTTTAAGGAAGTATAAAGTCAGGCATCATGGCAGAGCGGTGTTACCCTGATCTTGAAGCGGCCCCCCCTCCCGTCGTCCTCCTGCTGCTGCAGGATCTGTCCCGGCTCTGGAGGCGAGCCCAACGGGGTCTCAGCCTTCCTCTTCAGGCCCTGGGGTGGCTGGCCCACCCCACACACCCCTAATGAAATCGGGTCAGGCTCTTCATCCACCTGCAGACACAAACAAACTTCAAGAGTGATGCAGGAATAAGTCCTGATACTGAGTCAGCATTTTACCACTTATGGTTTCCTCTTCTTGAAGTCATTTTTTTTTTTTAATTGGTGCATAAAATGTAATCTGTGGTTGACACATGCTTACGAGATTTTGAGGTCTTGTTCTACAAGGTTAAATGTGTCAGTAAATGCCCCACTGCTAAATGTCTGAAGCTCTTGCGTGTCTTAAAAACAGCGGTTGCTCACAAGTGACTAAATTACACTACTTAATGTTATCAAGCTGAACATTAGCCGCGTTTAGCTTAGCGGTGGTGATGCACAGCAATTTGACCATGATGTAGTTCCTTATATCCTAATGTTAGCTTTTAACTTCTGCTGATTGTGTTTATGCATCAAAAATAATAGAGCGGAGAACATTATCCTGCTGAATAAAATGTGTATCAAAAATGTGTGTACGCCAAAGATCTTATTTTCTGCAATATACCAAAATCCAATGGAATAATCCCATTACTTTTTGTCGAAGGAGGCCTTGCGATGCTAACTTCGGGATCGACCTACACAAATGTATCATCATTATATCGCTCTATATTTAGAAATATGGTTTACTTATTGTCCTTTATAGAAATCTAACTTAATAAAGAGATGAATGTATAACAAAAGTCAATCGTTTATATGAAACCACTAAGCAGAATACTGAAATGCTAATGCCTCCATGTCAGACTTGTGCTGATAACTCTCGCTGTCAGCGATGTCTTACAAGACTAAGTGCTCTTAACTGTGATTCTGGGTACAATGGTGACGCAATGGGAATGCTGTATAGCCAAATACTGTTGGCAGGACTCTAGTAACCATAATTACATAGATTCAACCTAAGTGAACAGATTTATTGAAGGCTTTGCTGACTATCTTTGTGCCATCTGAAATGTTTTATGCTGCATTAGTAAATCAAAATGGAGGGAGACCACCAGGCAGTTGCTGATTACATCACCATTAGCTGCATGATGTAGTGTGTCTTTGACTAGTGTGTTTGTTGGCTATAACTACACAATTTAAAGTCAAAATACAAATTCGACCTGTCAAGAAATGTAAAATGTAGTTCAGTCAGTATTTCTTAAAGTGCAGTTTCCATAATACTAAAGTAAATGAGCCCACTTACAGCTATGTAGCTCATGCCAACACCATGGATGCCTATACTGGCCGCGGTGTCCATCACTGGGACCCCCCCCAACTCAGGCTTGATAGTAGGGTTCAGGACAGCTTTCTTCTCCTTCAGGTTGAGCACGAGGCCCAGCTCCGGCAGGGGCAGGCAGGAGGGGCGGGTCAGACCAAACAGCGTGTAGTAGAGGTTCACTGCATCACAGCGCAGCCGCCAGTCATGGGACGTACCTGAGGAGAGGGGGGGGGGGAGAGGGGGGGGGGGGACGGACAACAAAAGGCAAAGCTGGTTAAATCAAATAAAGATAGAAGCACCCAGTAAACTCTTCGTGTCCCCCTTGTACTAACCATACTTTACTTTAAAGCTTTACTTTATAAGAGGCTCCATTATGCTTTATGAGGTTTTCCCTTTCCTGTAGTGTTCTATAGGTTTCTGTGCATGTAAATGGTCTGCAAAGGCTAAAATCCCTGTGTTCCTCCAGAGGGACTTTATCCCCCAAACACCCCCCCCCCCCCTGGTGAGAGGGTTAGTACACTTCAACTGCACAGTTCATTCAACACTCCCTAAGAGACAGTGAGAACTAAATACAGGATAATTGAGAGCTAAATGCATTACTATGAGTCATTTGAGTAGCGTTGTGTTGAGTTGGGATGATTTAACACTAAATATTGCTGAAGCTGACAATCCTAAAGCCAAGCGCCTACAATGGTTGGCGGGGGGCACTGTGGCTTTAGAAGAGGGTAAAAGGAGTTTGTGTTCTTACAGGACTGACCTTCAGCTGCTGAAACATCATCCTGTGTGAGTGTGTGTGTGTTTAACATGTGGGGGGCTGTGGGTTTTGGGGGGGCGAGGAATAAAACAACCAACACATTTTCATAACATAGTATTTAAGGTGACCACACTTTGTGCTGCCAGTGTAAATACATAGTGACCAGTCAGGCTCTCCAACAGACACACACACGGACTGACCGGCAAACAAAAGTTCACTGGAAATAATTACCATCATATTTTCATTCATCCCTCAAAGGCAAATAACATGCTGCAATATGAGCTCAATGGGCTTCAGAAATATGGAATTGTTAACAGATACTTGTATTTGGGTTTTGAAACGGTGTGTATTTGGATTGGCAGACTGAAGCGTTATGGCCTGGCTGGCTAGCTGAAACACATAGGACCCCCTGGAAGAGAAATAATGAAACCTGAGGAGACAATAGGAGGCAGAGCCGTGTGCATACATGGTGGAGGCACCGCAACAAGCAGACCCTAACATTGTTCACTTCATTACTGGAATATACCAGATAATGTAAAAAAGAAGACGGGAAGACAAATATTTCATATGAAACACACACCGTTCAACAGTTGGTAGTGCTGCTGTTCGTCGGGGTTAAAGTGAGTCTATGCATTTACTGTACAAACGCTACACTAACGCATTGTGAGTGCACGGCTCCAATCAACATTTTATAAAATCAAAGCCACATTGAATTTGACGTTATTGTGGTCGGTAAACAACAATTTGGTGCGTTACAGCCACCTTTTGGACTGGAGTGTGGAGCAGTATATTGGCCGATAAACAAAATAATAATAAATAAAAAACAGAAATAATTTCTCGTATTTATAGAGTGGTGCATGAGTCCTAGCAGTCTACCACATCTTGTCACAAAGTCAAATGTTCGTGTTTTTGGTTAGGTGCCTGAAACAAGGTTAATACAAGCTGAAGATATTTTTACGTGTTATTCTACGACATTAAATACTAAATGTGACTAACTGAAGATATTTTTACGTTTTATTCTACGACATTAAATACTAAATGTGACTAACTTTAGTTAGGCGATTTAATTGATATGTTAAACGTATTAAGTTGTGTTTATACGTGGAGATTAACAAAACTTAAGTATCATAAACGTGTTTGCCAAAGATCTTGTTTTCTGTAATATTCCGAGTTCATGGAAAAATCCCATTGGCTGTGTACAGTCCAGAGGGGGGTCTGCCTTTTCTATGGAGAGTGTGATTTACTCCTTTGTCCTGTTCTCAGAGAGCTACCACTAACGTCTATTTCACAGTGATAAAGCCAACAGTGCTTTCTAAAAATGTCTAAGAAGCTTTTAGAAAATGTGCTTTAGATGAAGTGCATTACAACTAAATCTGGAAGGGATGTTTTTTTGATTGATTCAGACATTTATTTTAAGGTCACTTACAAACGCACTGCCTTCTCTTTAGGGAGGAATCATTCTAGCTCAAATGCAATTACTGGATATATGTGCCAGAAGAAACCAAAGAAAAATATGTGGCTAGATAAAATGTTATACTTCTGTTGCACGGTGCTCTTACAAGAAAAAAGTGAACATGCATGAATTAAAATCTCAACAGTGTAGTGGCTCAAATCTGTTGATCATTCGATGCAGTTTAGATTCAGTTATGATGTGCTCAGTTAAACCATTTCCTCAAACCTCATCACACATGATTGAGTTGACCTCTTTCGTTTCATTAAAAGGTAATGCTTGGGTCAAGTGTCACCGGTAAGATTAAAATGTACCGGACAAATGGGAAATGTTCCGTTGAGAAGTATCTCTCTATTATTGAGCTTGAAAACAATTGATAAATTAAGCTATAGGAAAAGGAAGACATCATTAAGGCATATAGATATATACTTCATTTAAATTCTTATTGAGAAATTCAAGCCTGCATAACAACAAAGCGCTGCTAGGAGACTAGTGCTGTTTGTGATGATTTAACACTAAATATTGCTGAAGCTGACAATCCTAAAGCCAAGCGCCTACAATGGTTGGGGGGGGGGCACTGTGGCTTTGGAAGAACTAGTGCTGTTTGTGCCGAAGCGCACCTGTGATGCACTCGCTGTGGCTGCTTTTGAAAGATAGGTACCGCTGTTAACTGACTCTCTCCAGACACAATTAGCTTAACAGGAAAGAAAGTACTAATTAAGTCAAGTGAAAGGTAAGCGAGTAAACGTCCGGTCATCAGGGAGCATCATATGCATTGTAGTGTATTCGCTGTTGTATAGCCAAACAATGTGACCATGTACGAGAGACATAAACAGTTCATATTCATAAAATACGGACGGTTTGATTGATTACACTTTTTCAACAGAGCAATTTCATTATTGTATAGATATAACAGGCATTTCCTGATGTCAAATGATCCTCCATCTGTCTTTGTGGAGACGTGTGTTCTGTCTCACATTGAAAAGTGAATATTATATAGAATCTAATTTCTACTCTCGGCTGCGCCCTGGTTGCACTGAGCAATAGGCGCGTGTACATTGACAACAGTGGATTTGAGCAGCAAAAGGCGTGTGTAATGTGTGCGTGTCTCACCTGAGTTCATAAGTTTCCAGAGCTGGTCGACCAGCGCTTCGTTACACAGAGCCGAGTCTGTGCTCTTGGTGAAAGGTGGATTCTTGCAGAGCATCCCAAGGATCTTATGTCTGATTGGACATAAAAAAAACAGGAAGATGATCATCCACGTCTTCTGTTGGTCTGTAGGCTATACAGTAATTTAGCAGGACCTACAACGTTTCTTTAACAGTAGGGCTGGTCATGCATGGTCACTTATGCAGTTGGTAGAATAAACTATAGGCAGATAAATGTAACACACATGTGTCTGCTTCAGAAAGTGGTTGCATATCTTTGTAACGACAGAGGCCGCAGAGCCTTTCCTTTTCCCCTTAATAAAGGATAGGTTTGCATGTTTCCATGCCAATCTTAAAACATTCCTGACATACCCATATGGACATTGAAAGGGTCTTTGGTTGTAAAGACATTCTTTCCTAAAGCGATTTCAGCCCTGCTCTATGCTCAATGCATTGCAAAGTTCTGGCAAAGCTAACATGAAGCTCAGGAGTTTGAGAGAAATCTACAGGTAATCTTTAAGCTTCATGAGTATGAGGTTCTCTCTTTGTGCTTCAGTTCACGCTGAGCCCCAGCAGAAGGGGCGTAACACAAAGTGGAATCTCCCTCTCTGTGTCCACACTTGATTTGTCTTACTCAGACTGCTAATATCATGTCAACTGATATTCACACTATCATCAGTGTTTGTTGTATTTAATAATGACAAATAAACCAAGAAAAAAACCATTGAGGTAAGGACACTGTTCTCAAAGTGCAAAGTGTACACATGGTAGTTTGTTGTGTGTGTGAATATGTACCTGACGTAATGAGCCGGCTCGTTCTGCACCATGTTGAGCAGCCACTGCAGCTCTGCTGAGCTCCTCTCCACTGCAGGACAGAGAAACAAACAGAGGCTGAACTCACAGACATGTTGCAATGAAAGAACTCCTTAAGATCCTGAAAATGTGTCAGATAAAATACAAATGTGACAAAAACCTTCAAACATCAGGTCTTATTATATATATCACATGATGTTTGACATATTATTGTACCCTTGATGGCATCTACAGTTGAGATGTGTGTCAACAAATAGAGACATCCACCTATCACTGCTGCATACCTTAGAATATGATTACATTTTTCTAAGTATAAAATGTGTCGCAATCCTATTTTTGGGCTAAAATCCGATTCATCGTGTAATGAATAGAATCTGGATGATTCACAGTCAAATGAGTAAGTATTTGTGTGATACAGATCCTATGAATGAACATGCAGACGGATCTATTCTTGTATATGCGGATCTCAAGTAACCTGACAACTAGATCAACAACAATGCAGAAGAAGTACGTGTAATAATGTCCAACCTCTAGTGTAGTCCACCAGAGCCTCCAGTGCAGCGACGCGAACGTCTACAAAGTGTCCGTACTCTGCGTAGGACTTGAAGAGCGACGCGTCACTGGGAATGTGTCCGTTCTTCTGCAGCTCTCGGATGGCACTCAGACAGCTGGAGAGAAGGGGGGAGAAGAACACGAGGGGTATTCCAGTTGTGTGAAATTAATGCTAAAAGATAACTAATAAAAGGAAATTACAGTTTTTTGTTGCTTTTGGATATATTATTTTTAAAAAGTACATTACCATTACATTTTTATTAGGGCTGTCAAGTTAACGCGTTAATAACGCGTTAACGCAAAAAAAAATTAACGCCACTAATTATTTTAACGCGATTAACGCATGTGTATTTTTTGTCCTCGGCCGCCCCGTAGTTTCAGAGCGCATCGAGTTTAAAATACCATCTACAAGCTGATGCTGACAGCCCCGCTCCTACCGCCCGCTTGTGGCAGACCACACTTCCACGCTCACCGGCAGGCCCGGACTGGCCATCGGGAGGACCGGGAGGGTGTGTATGTGTGGGGCGACTCGCGCGAGCGAGGCACACCTTACGTGTTGTTGTTGTTAGCATCTGGTGCTAGCTAGCTGCGGTAACGGATATAAGGAGCTGTTTCAATGACATTTCGCCGACAACTGCGCCGAGCACTTGACTTGATGCAGGCAGCCAGACAGTGGGACATTGTACGAAAAGTCAGCACACTCAGCACGGATAGTACGCGCAACATGATTGCAGCTCCCGTTCGAGCATATATGCCTTGAGCTGCACATACTGTAGCTCCAACGATCCATCACAGTGTCTACACACACACACACACACACACACACACACACACACACACACCACACACACACACACACCACACACACACACACACACACACACACACACACACACACACACACACACACACACAACACACACACACACACACACACACACACACACACACACACACACACACACACACACACACACACACACACACACACACACACACACACACACACACACACACACACACACACACACACACACACAGTATTGTATTAATGTATGAGAGAGGTTCCAGGTTGAATTGAGGCGAATATTTGTAATGTTCAGAGGTTGTTGTGTTTAATATTCATGAGAATATTTGTCATTGTTCAAATGATAATAAACAAACATATAAAGCATATTTGTCCACTCGTATGTTGATAAGAGTATTAAAACTTGAAAAATATCCCTCTAAGGTACATTTAGAACAGATACAAAATGTGCGATTAATTTGCGATTAATCGCGATTAACTATGGACAATCATGCGATTAATCGCGATTAAATATTTTAATCGACTGACAGCCCTAATTTTTATACTTTATTATTATATGATGGTATTTTTATTATAAAACTATACACCTATCGATTATTGTGAATCCCTGTCTCTTTCCTGCAATCTTAAACTTGGATATGCAATGGGAATCATTTAGAAGTGAGTCTACTTTGAAGCCATGATCCCTTCAGGCGCCTGCCTAAATAACATAAGCTGAACTGAACGATTATAAAATATAAATAAGGCCCTAAATATGTGAGATATGTAAAAGATTATTTTGAATGCCAAGGTAGTGTTTGTGGAGTGCTGTCAATGTATTGAAGAATGTAATTGTGTTAATCACAATAATCATTTGTGATGAATGATTATCATACATACAGCTTGGTCCAGTACCTCCGCTTTCTTTGTCTTTTCACTGCCATGCAATTCATGGTAAAAACAGGCACTGGTATTTAGGGAGCAACAATGGGTCAATCTTGGTGACTAATTTGCACTTTTGCATTGCTTTAAGGTTTCCAGATTATTCGCGAAAGCTAACACATTTAGCGTTTACATCGACAGCCCTAGTTGATAGGCATGTGAACTTTTGAACTTGATCGGGACTACGGATGGAAATTAGCTCAAAGCTAAAATCCGACATGCTTACGTTTTAAAGCATTATTTGTTTTAAATGTTCATCAATGTGCATTGTCCCTCTTCAAATAAACGATTAAATACAGACAACAACAAAAAACTAACCTATATAAAATCTTAACAAAAATGAAAAAACAAGCATTTTCTCTAATTATGGTTGTGATATTGTGTTTTTTGCTCAACAACATGGGTCTACACTCTTGCACACATTACTGCATGCAACACTATATTAATGTTCATTTTAGAAACTCTTACATTTTAAGTAAAGGCTAAACTTAAGAAAAAGACTCTCTGACATTGAAAGCCCAAAAGACCTTAACCCACCATAACACACCTTATTTTGTGGCAGATAATCAGAGTCGCCAGTGTCTTATTAAATTGAAGCATATATTTAAATAAAATCTGAGAACACTGCCTATGCCAACATGGACGGATATTACTTTACTATGCTTACAAAGTACCAACATTTTGTATCAGTTTAACAAATGAGATAAATAATCTGCCAGGACAAACACATGTTTCAGGAGATCATCAGTGGAACATAGAGACCAACACTCCGCTGCTAACCTGACAGTGATGGTGTTCCTGAAGCTCGGCAGCAGCTTCTCCATGTTCAGGAACCGTGTGATCTCCTCCAAGATGAGACGCACGTCAGCATTCAGATTGTCCACGGTGCGCACCTCGTTGCTGATGCTGATGGCCGGGGTCAGGGAGTTGGTCAGGGCTTCAATCAGCTCTGCACGGTAGTAGTTATCTGAGAACTGAAGACACGCAAGAACGGGGGGGGGGGGGGGGGGGGGGGGGTGGGTTGTGTATGCTTATCACTGGGGCCAAACATTCAACTTCACTGACATTGCACAGTACTGGGATGACCACATGCAGTCAGCATCTAACCAGAAGTGCAAGAGAAGCAGTGAAGAGCAGTGTAATGTATATGTAGAGTTTAACTATATCAAAGAGACAGATATTTAAAGCTTAAGTATATATAGTAGGGCTGCACGATATATCGTGTCGTGACGATAATTTAATTTCTTTTTTAGGACGTGCGATATTAAGTAGGCAAATGAACTCAAACACGTCATGTTACAATTCTTTTGCTGCTTGCTACAAAAGGAAAACTGGCGCGGCTCTCATGTCAGGGGTACTTGAGTGAGTGACATGCAGGCTCTGCATGCACAGCAAACCACCAATCACAATCAAATCTCCAAAACAAACGGACCCGGTGATTAAAGGTAGAAACACTGAATAAAGTAGTTTCATGTGTTTCTCCAGGGCAGTTCGGCGCTGCTAACCGAGCTAGCTCAGCTTGTTGCTCTGATAACTTAAGATCCAGACGTCCGTGACTAAAATCCTTCATCCGGTTAAATATAGTTAGAAAAATACCAATTGTTTAGCATTAAAGTTCAAGAGAGGATGGTTTGCGGACAAAAAAAACAGTCTTTTCTTCAATTCCTGTATTTTGTTCATATCGCAATATATATCGCAGGGGGAAGAAAATTGCAATGTCAGTTTTTTCCAATATCGTGCAGCCCTAATATATAGTATGAACAGTATTAATATGTATAAACACTATGAATATATGAAATATAGACAGTATAATAAATATGTATACACTTTGAACAAATTATTTGAATAAATACATTATCTCAACTGCTCGTTAACACAAATATCTAATCAGCATGGCAGCAACCTAATGCATTTAGGCATGAAGACATGGTCAAGACGACCTGGTGAAGTTCAAACAGAGCATCAGAACGGGGAAGAAAGGTGATTTAAGTGACTTTGAACGAGGCATGGTTGGTATTTCAGAAACTGCTGATCTACTGGGATTTTCACAACCATCTCTAGGGTTTACAGAGAATGGTCCGAAAAAGGGAAAACATCCAGTGAGCGGCAGTTCTCAGGGAGAAAACGCCTAGTTGATGCCAGAGATCAGAGGAGAATGGCCAGACTGGTTCAAGATGATAGAAAAGCAACAGTAACTCAAACTAGAACATTTCGAGAAATGTTGACTGTGTGACTGAAACTTGGGTGCGCGTCCCGATGCTAACATTACCCCCGCTGAGTAAGTATTAATAGCATTAGTTGTATTGTTAAGGTACAACAAAGAATATCCATTCATTTTAGCTCACCTTTAGCTGACTATTTGAACTGTTTATCTATTACATGTTTGGATTCTTGTACCACATTCCTGCATCGTTTCTGAACATCTTTAGATTACCACTGGATTTAGTTAACGACCGACAGGTGTGTTCAAATATCAAAGCGTTTCCACGGCAACGCCCTGCCAGTGAACGAGAGACAGCATGTCAGAGAATGTGTTGACAATATTGTGCTGCATTATTGCTTCTAAGTAAAAAGCTGTAACTCCAATCAGCTAAGTATCCTACCCAGAGTATTTAGGATACCAGATGAACACACCTGATGACTCTCGTGTTTGCTATGTGTGTAAATCCGTTTGATTAAATGAGCATATCGGTGCGGCCGTGACAAATTTCCCTACATTATGATCACCAAATTATGTATGAAGAGTAACAATTGTGGCCAGCCGAGCAATAGTTGGAAAAAAACTCTTTCGATTTTCCAGCTCCTCTCCCCTCTAGCCGTGATGTCACCCACTCTAAGTCTTAACCAACCCATTATAAAATGTGAAACATTGTGACATTTTCACAAAACGTAAGCTGCGAGTACGTGAGAACTGTACTAGCTATCCAAAAATATCCAATTAGTGTAATAAAGTCCAGTCTCGAGAACCGTTTAAACTTGCAATCTTTGTTCTACGTTAAAGTATGCGGAATCTGTATGGGGTCAAAGTGGGGTGTTTTTGAGCTCTGTTCAAATGGATTTCCCATTCATTCCTATGGGGCAAATGATCGCAGTGTTCTGCGATTTGCGTGAAAACGGCTAGGCGAATCTCTTATAAAAGACATAGCAACCCGATCCCCGTCATTCCGCACGTTTTGATGTGTTTTTAGTGTGTTTCGTGTCAACGCTGCCGGACGAGTAGCATGACAACATTTGTGGCGGAAGAAGGAGAATAAGATGAGATAAGTATGTTGAATATTATACTGTGTGTGGCTTTGTCAGTCACACAGAATAACCACTAGTTACAACCAAAGTATGCAGAAGACCCTCTCTGAGCGCACAACTAGGGATGCCAGAAACTGACCATGATCAAATTCGAAAATCGGACAGCCCTGGCGAATATTAATCGATTATTCGCCGCCGCCCCCCCCCCCCCCCACCCCCGCGGGAGAAAGAAAAAAAAAGTATTTTCGCAGAGCTTGCATTTTACTTCATTTGCACTTGTCAGTTCGAAGTAGTTCGAACTCAAACTCTTCTTTGTTCATCTTTAGTTGTGTTGTTCTCACTGTTCTGTTTGTATATCGCCAATAAATCAATCGCACGTGTGACGGAGAAGGGGGGGGGGGGGGGGTCGGTGTGTAGCAGGCTGCAGCAGGCAGCAGCAGTCTGCACTCTGCGCAGCCTGCGCTGCTGGCTTCCTCCAAGTTTACAGTAAAACAAACTGGTGGTGTGACCAATGGCCATTTACAATTATTAATACTATTACTATTATTAGCATTAGTCTATATTTTGGTTGAAACTAAGCCAGGAAAAAAAAGAAAAACATAAATAATAATAAAAAAATATATAAATCAAATCGAATTTTAAAAATAATTTTCGATTATGGAGACTGTAACGAATATTCGAAAAATCGAATAATCGCTGCCATCCCTACGCACAACACCTGGAATCCGAAGCAGAGGGGCTACAGCAGCAGAAGACCACACCGGGTGCCCCTCCTGTCAGATAAGAACAGGATACTGAGGCTACAATTTGCACAGGCACAACAATAAAACAATTGGAGAAATGTTGCCTTGTCTGATGAGTCTCGATTTCTGCGGCGACATTCGGACGGTCGGGCCAGAATTTGGCGTAAACAGCATGCAAGCATGGATCCATCCTCACAATCTGCAGCAACTGCGTGATGCTATCATGTCAATATGGACCAAAATCTCTGAGGAATATTTCCAGCACCTTGTTGAGTCTATGCCACAAAGAATTAAGGCAGCTCTGAAGGCAAAAGGGGGTCCAACCCGGTACTAGCAAGGTGTACCTAATAAAGGCGCGGGTGAATGCACTCTAGAAGCTCTAACCGGTAAGGACAGTTGTACAAATAAAATAAGTAAATATGACTAATGTGCAAATAGTCAGTCAATGGGAATCAAGGGGGGGGGGGGGGGGGCTATCGATTTACTGTTGGCATCTGTGAAAATAGAAACTACAAATTAAACATTAAGTGTGTGACGGGGCATCTATACTTTGTTTTTTCTGTTGTCGTTGTACTTGATCAGGTCCAGGATGAAGTTGAGCACATCTTTGGGACAGAGGTTCTGGACATCTCTGAGTAACGCCATGGCAACAGGCATCGTCTGACATCGGAGAAAAAGACAGTACAATCATGATCATGTTTGCAACAAAAAAGATGGAGACATTTTTTATAGCTAAATGTTACTGCTGAAAACCTTTACTGTGCTTGCACATGGCAATGTAAGTGGAGCCTAATACTGGAATTTGTAAAATGTGGTTGTTCTGTAATTGTATCAAAATAGGTTCTGGGTGCACTGAAAAACAAAAAATAAAACATTGACTTGAAATGAATGTATTTTGTCAACAAAGTTCACATTACTGTATTAGTTTAGTTGAAAGCAACAGTATGAAGTTGAACCTAATCTTTTTTTGTTACACCTTTTTTAAGTGTGGGACATAATACTGCTGAAACGTCAATGTGTCAGGGCTCTCCGGTGGATAATACAACAAATAGACACAAAATATATTTAAAAACATTTACGGTATTTCTGCACTGAAATGTATTGTATTGTAAATGTATGTATACTAAAATAAGCTGAAGCTATGCCTGGGATAGCGTCCAGGACTACAGTGTGTTGACACAGTTAATGGACCTATAAGAGTTATGCATTGTATGTATGTATTACCTTTTGCAGGAAGTACGTCTGAAAGCTGATGAAGTGGTTGGTCTTGACGATGTTGGGGCAGCTCTTACAGCAGAACATTCTGGTAAACAGGGACTTCATAGCTGGGGGGCCCTGCCACGTGCTCACCATGGCATTGGCTATCTGCAAGGTTTACATATACACATGAGAACAGGAGAAGACAGCTCTTTTTCAAAGCTTGTGTCTGCTGTCACCACATTAAAATAACTGCCAACTGAAACATACAAGAGTTCTGCAAAGCATGTGGACCGTACAATGTACCCAGATGTATATTCTTAACTCTCAGGAGCTATGGGCAGACAAATAACTCATTTAAGAATGTTTTACTTTTATAACAATGTCCTTTCTGTCCATTATAATTGCTGTGGTGGGAACAGAACCCCACAGTGAAAGTGTACACACGAGAGGTTTCCACAGGCATGAAGACCAGCGGCTCCAGTGGTCTTTGGGTTCCAACAGGATATTGGGGAATTTATGTTAATGTGGTAATATAGGACCAAGGGTCACTGACACAGGATGTTGTCATTTGGTAAGGTAAATAAAGGCATGCTCACCGGAATGTTGATGTATGTGCGTGTGCACGCATTCACGAACACACTTGTGTTTGTGTGAATATTAAACATGTGCATGCATTCTTTCGTTTTATGTCCCCCCAAATGTTCACCCCCAGGCTGTTCCTTTATCCTTCCCACAATTTCTATCAATAACAAGCAAGTATATGCCATCCCACCAATCATAACGCAGCAAAGTCCATCTGAGGTCAGTTATATTTCACGTTTCCGGTCAGTGTGGGTATGTTAGTATGTGAATGTGTGTGTATGAGCTTGTATGTCAGTCAGCGTGTGAAGTATAAACCAAAGGCCATTACGATGGAGACTGTTGGGGGTTCTGTGGCCAATCACAGCACATTAATGAAGCTAGTGAAGTGCCATTTCAACCTCCACTCAGTTTATCATGTTGCAAAAATATTGGTTCAGGTGGGGTTAAAGTTGGAAAAGACTAAATCCAGAGAATAGAGAATTTCCTGCAGTCTCAGAACAGGATTATACAGCCAACAGGGCAGGGAGGGTTAAACTAGTGGGTGCTGGTCAAATATTGTTATCAAAATAACAAGTGAGGGAGCGATGAGGTAGATGGATATGGTTAAAACAGTTTCCCCTTTATTGGAAATGACAAGTGTAAAAAAAAAAGCAAACTATTAGAGCATGCTGGTTTCAGAGTCTTTCTGGAGCTATAAACTGAACTTGTATTCTCCCTTCTGTCCCTCTCTCATGCATCCCTCACCTAACACACATTCATTCACATCCCCACCCAAGGCCTTCTTCACCCTTCTTGTTTCCTCATATTCTTTCAGGGACCCACATTACTACTTATTTCTCCTCATCCCCTCTCACTCCATATTTGCAAAGTTACAGCTTCCCTCTTCTGCTCAGTTAGAGCATTTCTATGGAAGCCCAGTATCTCAGTTAAATGACATTGTGACCTATCATGGGTCATCATGCTCCCAATATAAATCCATTGATCCAGCTATATACAGGTGACACCACTGACTAACTTACCTTCTACTCTTACTAAATGTAATCTGCTTAGACTAAACTACAGTGAATGTAAAAGTGAAAATCTTAAACCCAATCAGTCATGCTTTACCCACTGCAGAAGGGCTGAAGCATGTCCTTGATACCCACAATGGATCTGCCTGAACACTTAACTCTTTGCATCATATGCGAGTAACTAATTCCAGTTACTAAATGACAACTGATGTGACTGTTACTCATAACAAATGTGTGTATGCATGATACAGTCTGGATCTTAAATTGTATTTATTGTTGAGAAGTCAAGCTTTCATTCAAGACTTTCCTACCTTAGCTAGGCTAGCTGATTCCCAGATGCTATATTTAGTCAAAAACACTGCTCAAACTACAATTCACAAAACACACGCACATACTGGCAGACACATACCTTGGCCAAACAGAAGCAGGCCTGCATGCGGACTTTGTAGAAACACTGTTCCTGCTCCAGGATGTCCGTCAGAGCCAGTCTGGAGGCAGGAGTTGGGAACTTCTCCAAAGCTGAGATGGCCTCCTCCTAAGAGAGAGAAAAGGTACATGCTCCGTCAGTGACAGTAGGCTCAACGTGAAAAGCTGCTACCAACATGTTGCTTGGAGTGAGGAGAGATAGAAGTGATGAGAGATAAATGGGACTGATAAGTGTTGCGATTCTGTTTTTTTTTACCAACTAGGATGTGGTTCCAAATTAGAACCTGCTTTCAGAAGCTATCACTGAAAGCACCCTTTAGGGATGTGGTGTCTTAGCAGAAAAAAAGAAGATCTAACTGCAGAGTGATATGGTGAACCCATAAGAAAACCCACCTGTGCAACTACATCCCTCTCATAGCGCAGCTGATACTGCCACATGAAGTCAGCCTGCTCAAACTCCACCTTCCTCAGGATGGACATATCCGGGTCGATCCGGATCCAGAGGAGAGGAGAGTCAGCACTGCAGACGTTACAAGAGATAGACACATTGAGGGGAAGTTCAAACAAAAGTAAGGAACGTCAACTCCCACAGGGAGCTAAAATGAGTTGCTCATCACAGATCCATCTTTAACTAAACATTTCATCCTGAAGAGGTTTCCATAGCAGTCATATCAAGAGTCAAGGCTTTTATTGTCATTCGTACATAGCTACAGTATAGTTATGTCGATGAAAATCTTAGGTCCCAGGCTCCTGCAACAGTGCAACACAATAAAACAGATTAAATAGTGCAAGTAATACAATAAAATAGAATAGAAGTAGTACCATAAGAGTCAAGTGACACATCATTTGTAAGTTGCAAACAGGTGAATGTTATGGATATTCTTAGTTCAGGTGTTTAACAGTCTTATTGCCTGTGGAATGAAACTGTCCCTGAGTCTGGTGGTTTTAGTCCGGATGCTGCGGTACCGCCTGCCAGACGGCAGCAGACAGAACAGTTTGTGGCTGGGGTGATAATCTGGAGGGATTTCTTCCTGAGGCGCTGGGAGTAACGGTCCTCCATGGATGGCAGCTCCGTCCTGGTGATGTGCTGTGCAGTTTTCACCACCCTCTGTAAAGCCTTACGATTGAGGGCGGTGCAGCTGCCGTACCAGGCCGTGATGCAACCAGTCAGGATACTCTCTATGGTGCACCTGTAGGAGGTCAGGATCCTCTCTATGGTGCACCTGTAGAAGGTCAGGATCCTCTCTATGGTGCACCTGTAGGAGGTCAGGATACTCTCTATGGTGCACCTGTAGAAGGTCAGGATACTCTCTATGGAGCACCTGTAGAAGGTCAGGATCCTCTCTATGGAGCACCTGTAGAAGGTCAGGATCCTCTCTATGGTGCACCTGTAGGAGGTCAGGATACTCTCTATGGTGCACCTGTAGAAGGTCAGGATACTCTCTATGGAGCACCTGTAGAAGGTCAGGATCCTCTCTATGGAGCACCTGTAGAAGGTCAGGATGCTCTCTATGGAGCACCTGTAGAAGGTCAGGATACTCTCTATGATGCACCTGTAGAAGGTCAGGATACTCTCTATGGTGCACCTGTAGAAGGTCAGGATGCTCTCTATGGTGCACCTGTAGAAGGTCAGGATGCTCTCTATGGTGCACCTGTAGAAGGTCAGGATCCTCTCTATGGAGCACCTGTAGAAGGTCAGGATGCTCTCTATGATGCACCTGTAGAAGGTCAGGATACTCTCTATGGTGCACCTGTAGAAGGTCAGGATGCTCTCTATGGAGCACCTGTAGAAGGTCAGGATGCTCTCTGTGGTGCACCTGTAGAAGGTCAGGATCCTCTCTATGGAGCACCTGTAGAAGGTCAGGATGCTCTCTATGGTGCACCTGTAGAAGGTCAGGATACTCTCTATGATGCACCTGTAGAAGGTCAGGATACTCTCTATGGTGCACCTGTAGAAGGTCAGGATGCTCTCTATGGTGCACCTGTAGAAGGTCAGGATGCTCTCTATGGTGCACCTGTAGAAGGTCAGGATGCTCTCTATGATGCACCTGTAGAAGGTCTGGATGCTCTCTGTGGTGCACCTGTAGAAGGTCAGGATGCTCTCTGTGGTGCACCTGTAGAAGGTCAGGATCCTCTCTATGGTGCACCTGTAGAAGGTCAGGATGCTCTCTATGGTGCACCTGTAGAAGGTCAGGATGCTCTCTATGGTGCACCTGTAGAAGGTCAGGATACTCTCTATGGTGCACCTGTAGAAGGTCAGGATGCTCTCTATGGTGCACCTGTAGAAGGTCAGGATGCTCTCTATGGTGCACCTGTAGAAGGTCAGGATGCTCTCTATGATGCACCTGTAGAAGGTCAGGATGCTCTCTATGATGCACCTGTAGAAGGTCAGGATGCTCTCTATGGTGCACCTGTAGAAGGTCAGGATCCTCTCTATGGTGCACCTGTAGAAGGTCAGGATCCTCTCTATGATGCACCTGTAGAAGGTCAGGATCCTCTCTATGGTGCACCTGTAGAAGGTCAGGATCCTCTCTATGGTGCACCTGTAGAAAGTCAGGATGCTCTCTGTGGTGCACCTGTAGAAGGTCAGGATGCTCTCTGTGGTGCACCTGTAGAAGGTCAGGATCCTCTCTATGGTGCACCTGTAGAAAGTCAGGATGCTCTCTATGGTGCACCTGTAGAAGGTCAGGATGCTCTCTATGGTGCACCTGTAGAAGGTCAGGATACTCTCTATGGTGCACCTGTAGAAGTTGCAGAGTATCCTGGAATCCATTTTGAACCTCCTCAGCCTGCGGAGGAAGAAGAGCCGCTGTCGAGCTTTCTTGGTGATGGTGGTGGTGTGAAGAGACCATGTCAGGTCCTCAGTGATGTGGACACAGAGGAACCTGAAGCTGCTGACTCTCTCCACCGTAGTCCCATTGATGGCGATGGGGGCGTGTCCCTCTCTCTGCTGCTTCCTGTAATCCACAATCAGCTCCTTTGTTTTGCTGACGTTGAGATGGAGTTTGTTATCCTGGCACCAAGATGTCAGGTTTTCGACCTCCTCTCTGTACGCCGTCGGTGATCAGGCCGATGGCGGTCGTGTCGTCAGCAAACTTCACGATGGTGTTGGAGCTGTGTGTGGCCACGCAGTCGTGAGTGAACAGGGAGTAGAGGAGAGGGCTGAGCACGCAGCCTTGAGGGGCTCCGGTGTTGAGGATCAGGGTGGAGGATGTGATGTTTCCCACCCGCACTGCCTGGGGTCTGCCCGTCAGGAAGTTCAGGATCCAGTCACAGGGGGCGATGTTGAGTCCGAGGTCTCTGAGCTTGATGACCAGCTTGGAGGGCACAATGGTGTTGAATGCTGAACTGTAGTCAATGAACAGCATTCTCACATATGTGTTCCTCTGGTCCAGGTGTGAGAGGGCAGTGTGGAGGGTGAGGGCTATGGCGTCGTCTGTGGACCTGTTTGCTCTGTAGGCAAACTGCAGGGGGTCCAGAGAGTCAGGGAGGGAGGAGGTGATGAATGATTTGACTAACCGCTCAAAGCACTTCATTATGATGGAGGTGAGTGCTACTGGGCGGTAGTCGTTGGGGCAGGTGATGATTGTCTTTTTGGGGACAGGAACGATGGTGGAGGGTTTAAAACATGTGGGGACTACAGACTGCAGCAGGGACCTGTTGAAGAGGTCTGTGAACACCTCTGCCAGCTGAACTGCACACACCCTGAGAACACGGCCAGGGATGCCATCAGGTCCAGGAGCCTTGTGTGGGTTAACCCTTTTAAAAGATCTGCACACATCTGCCCTGTTTAAAACAAAAGGGCAGGGCTCCTGATCCTTCTCTGCACCCACAGCCTGGCTGCTCTCGAATCGTGCAAAAAAACTGTTCAGCTCATCTGGGAGAGATGCACGCAGACAGTCCCGCAGCACCCCCCGCTGCTCCATCAATGGCTAAAGGCCCTGACACACCAGGCAGTCACCAGAGAACTCGCCGACATCCGACACCGACAGATCCATCGACGAGTTCTCCTGCGTATTGGCCGTGTGTCGCACTGAAATACACCGCTTTACTACAGCCGAGCACGTACGAACTGCGCATGCGTGAGTGGCAATAACTCTCCTTACCAGCAGGCGGCGGTAGTGTGTATTCGTCATTCAAAAGAGGCAACAACCGGAAGACAGAGAAGAAGAACAGACTGATATACAAACAAATAGCGGGTGCCGTTCCATTTTCACTCTCGTCCATCGAAAACATGTTTTAGAATATAAAAATACATGCATGATGAAATGAGCACATAAAGTGCAGACATACTATAAAATCACAGTTAATAGACCTGCATCTGATGATCGCAGTGTTCTGGCAGGTGTGTAGTTTATTGAGTCAGCAATGTAATAATGGCCACTAAATTTACGATGAGATGAAAAACCGGACTTGACCAAACAAATCACGGAGCTCTCAGCAGAGGACAGCCGGGGACGCTCCCGCCGATATCAGAGATGTCCCTGCTATGTGTGGGAGGTAAGAGAGGACATTTAAATCGTTTGTTTACGTCCCTCACTTCCGTTTCGCTTCTCATTTGCTAGCTGAACAGCTGATCAGAGTGGTTTCTTGGCCCGATAGCTTGTGTCCAACACCCGGCCGATTCAACATGTTGAATCGGCCGGGTGTCGATCGTGAAAGGCCAAATAAGGCGTGTCACGGCCGAGGGTTCGGGACACACCAAATTGACTTTGGGCGACAAGGAACCCGTTTTCGCCCAACAACGCAAGACGGCCGATATCGGCCTGGTGTGTAGGGGCCTTAAGAGGTAGACACACGTTTGTTCCAGCTAGAAGAGTTATGTTATGAATAATGTTTTTCTTAAATGAAAAGAAGCTTGCCTTAAACACTAGAAAACACCATTACATTATATATAAATAAAATGATACAATAACTAATACATACAATATAAATAACAAACAAATGACCACAGCAGTGATGTCTTACTCCATTGCCGATAAATCCATGTCAACTTCCTCTCCATTCATCAGAGGAATCTTCTTTTTCTTGTTTCTGGGGAAAAAACAACGGAACAGTCAGTAAACACAGCCAGACTCAGAATTTCTTTCATCAATTCTCTTTGTTGTTCACATTTCTGTTCGACTAGAAACAGAGACGAGAGGACAAAGTAAAGAAACAAAGATTAAATAGATAACAAGATCAACGTATCACCAAGAAACAAAGCAAAATAATGAGTAACAATGAGTATGATATCTAGTAAATATAAACATTTCTCCATTATTGAGTTGACTTATGAGAGTGTGTGCAGTGCAGTGTGTGTACCGGCGGCTCTTGGAGTGACAGGGGATGTCGTGTTTCAGGCTGTTCTCCTCGATCTGCAGCGTGTGGTTGAAGGATCCATCCAGCTCCTGCACTGTCACTTTGATAGGGCCCTGCAGGCAAATAAACATAGGATCATTTTATGTGCGTGTGGCGCAGTGGATAGAGCCTTGGTGTTGGGACCAGGGGAGCACAGGTTCAAACCCCACTGCAGTCAGCATGTCGTTGTGTCCCTGAGACACTTCACCCCAAATTGCTCCTGTGGGGATTGCCCACAGTATTGAGTATGTAAGTCGCTTTGGATAAAAGCGTCTAACAAGTAACAAGTAATGTAATTTTATGAAATGGGAATTCTGTAACATTATTAGATTGTTTTCATCCCTTTAAGTCTTGGATTTTGGTTTTAGAATAGGTCTCCCTCGAAGGGAAAGATCTGCTGTGCAAAATGCTAGGACTGTCTTAGAAGGATAGCCATGTTTGTGCCATACTTGGTAACTGGTGTTTTGCACTGTAAAATAATAACTAATCCTCTCATTGACCATCAGCAAATGTTGGCATTCAGACTAGGATTGTGGCCTACAGTACACTTTCATTTTATTAAAAATCTCATTTGAATCTGCTGTAAAAAGAAAAAACGATTTACTTCAAGAAATGGACTGCTCTAGACACAGACAATTCATTTATTCCAAACACTGTATGTAGACGCTCACCACATATTTCTGGGTTCCAGATGATGTGTAGTCCTGACGGATCTCCAGCTCCAGCACGTTCCTTTTCCTATTAAAAGCAAAACTGCCAAAGAATTTCACCACAGCACTTTGGTCTCTGAGTACCAACAGTTAAGGTCAATAAGTTATTTATTCTTTTCAATTCAAGATTAAACAATGAACTGGTGAAATGTTTAAAACATGACCTTTGCAATTATTTTATACACTTTATATCTTTTTGCATTTGTTCTAACGTGAGTCAATTCTGAGTCAGTGGACTAAGTTTCAAGGCTGCAGAAAAACCTGAAAAGTGCTTTAATTAACAAAAACTATTTAAGGTCTGACATGACCAAACATTGAACCTCTATATTTCCCTTCTGTGTAAGGTCATACCGTGAAGCAGTTCATCAATAATCACTCTGTGTGCTGGCAAACCATCCATTCCAGATTGAAGGATACACCCACTGTTTGATGAGGGGGCCGATGTCTTTGCCTGAGACGTTGGAGATGGACTTGAGGAAGGCGTGAGTGGACAGAAGCATCTGGCTCCACATGTGACTCTGGTACTTCTGGGAGGAGGCGGTACTCGCCAGGCTCAGAAGCTTGTTGAAAACCTTTAGTAAGGGAGCAGAAAACAAAGAATTCAAATGAAGACAAAACCATCTTTTGTTATGAGGTTAATAAATACTGACTTAGACGTTTAAAGAGGCATAAGACAGGGAAATGCTGGCAGTGTGTCACCTGCAACATGAACTCCATGCTGATCCGGTTCTCTATCAGCCTCATCACCAGGTGGGCCTTACACTGGAACATCTTGTAGTACTCCCAGGACAAAGTGTGGGGGTGCTTGATGGAGAAGTGGAGGTGGGGGGTTGGACTGAAGATAGAAAACAGTTAGGTCAGTGTGTCATGCAATTATGATCCAGGACCAAATGACTGTGATTAGATTGAAGCGTTACTTGTCTTTCTCTTTTCCTCCACTGAAGGTCGGGTGCAGCAGAACCCCCCCCATCTTCAGTTCATACTCCACAATCTTGTCCAACTCCTGAAGAGAAAATAATAACATTCATAAACATTTATAAATGAATCAAGTTTTTAAATTCAGTTGTATATAAACTCAAATAAGTTGATCATTAGTTAAGTCTATGAGTAAATGGCTGCCTACTGCACGGTTATATTTGTTATAGATAAATCTGTGATTATTTTCCCAGATTGTCTTTTACATTTCAGAGAAAAGTGAAAGGCACATACTATGAGCCAAAACAGTTCAAAAAGCTCCTTATTTGTCTCATACTGACTGTGCTGCACACTTTTTTTCACTCTCTGTCGAAATCCAGAGCCCAGTCTTCTCTGATTGGTTAGCTGTTTGGCTCGGTTGTGATTGGTCAACCACTTGGAGATGTTAAGCGGTGCTTATGTGGTACAGCAGTGCTACACCTGTAGCAGTGGTGCTACATGGCACAGCAAAAGTGACATGGTTTGAGTGAGGCAAATGTCTAAACCAACATTTAGACCTATCACATTGATTTAGGATACATTCAGTGAGGCACGTCATTATTCATTACAACGTCATGAAAAATGATCGGTTTGTGTGAAACTGCAGGTGTTGGGCTGCTATTATCACAGGATAGGATAAAGAGTTGTCTAGAATAACTGTTACCTCTTTGATCCAGTGCCGGTACTCATTCACTCCAAAGGTCTTCTTTAGGTAGAGGCCGTAGATGTAGCCTGAGATCCCCTTCAGCACCCACTCATCAGCCCTTCAGGAGGAACAACATATATAATGCACTGCAAGTTCACAAAATACAAATCATCACCAAATATCAATGTCTTCACCTGGGGGGGGTTAAGTGCCCCGCATGGTTTGAGGTATATGTCCAACGTTCAGGCATTATTCAAGGAATTGTAACAAATGAAATGCAGGTTAACTCCATATTTAAGAAAATTAACTCCAGACCTTCGATCCTTCACACTTTCAAGCAGCCCTTTCTGGGATCCGGATTAAATAGGATATGGAGATTAAAACCTGGAAACTGAGAGCTCACCCTGTTTCCTTCGCTCTTTCAAGCTTATTAAAAGTGACTTTTAGAGTAAAAGGCCACACTTGTGTGCTCTTTACTAAGTTATTGTGTTGTGTAAGTTACCCTTGTGGTATTCCTAGGAACAAACTTGGCATGGCAGACACAGCTTTTGTACATTTATCAGCCTAGATTTATTAGCTTGTAAAAAAAGGAACACAATACTATGATTCAACCTGGGTGGTTTAACAGCGTCATGCTGAACTGAATCCATCCTGCGGGTAGAAATTATGATTTCAACTGTGCAATAGCTATGATCAACTTTATGGACACTATGGAATTATTTTCCTAAAATATTTCATCCTAATATTGTCTAGAGAATATTTTTGATTTATTATTAAAAATAAGGTCGAACTCTTAAGATTTGAGTTTCTTTCCTTTGTTTTTTGAGAAACCCTTCTTAAAAAGTAGTCCCAACTTAATTCTTGTAACACTGAAAAAACAGCACTTTACAAACCAACACCCTCAGATGCAATTGGTCAATTAAATCTTCAGCAGACTTTCATTAGGAAAAAACCTCTATTACACAGAAACACAAGGCGGAGATAAAACACAAATCAATGTATTGTTTCCTAAAGCTCCTCAAACTTCCGTTTTTGATATCAAGGTTTCATAGATTTGTAAAAAGAGCAGTTTTTATTTTTCCGTGTGCCTTTTTCTTTTATGTCTGACAGGCTACTGAGCACGGCTGCTTTCAATTACAGCCCTAGTTAACCCCCACTCTGATTAATTGCTAGCAGGCAGCACCATGCTTTGCTAGAATCAAAGAGATCTGAGTCTCCTGAGATCTTTTCTTACACAACACCAGCCAGCTCAACAACATAAGCAAACCAAGGACACACATCTGATGTGTGTTTAAAGGTCAGAGAGGGGGGGACAATACGCGTTTCTCTCCACAATACTAGCAGGATTTAAGTCCTATCGATGGGCTTCTTATCTTAACACAAGCCTACTGAGTTTTGGACAAAATTATGAAGTATAAATGTGTTATTTTCACCTTTTTTTAAATATATTTCTTCCTGCTGGGGTCCCTACAGTCTGGGAATTTCATAAATGTATGGAAAGCTGAGACGATTAAATGAGTTCAGCTGTATAAACGTGTGTCAAGCCTATTCATTGTTGTCAGACTATTTTTTGAAACATGACCTCCCTTTATAAAATGAGCTGTTTTGAGCTCTAGGATAATCAGAAGCTCTTTCAACTTAACAAACACAACTAGAGACTGAGGGCTTTTAGAAGCTTTCCTTATTAAATTGGCATTAATAGGGTTTCTAAGCAATTATTGCAAATGTCCAAAGTTTTTGATACCAAATCTCTGAATGGATTTTTCTCTGTTGTTTTTTTGTCAAGTGTTGAGTGATCTAGAATGATCAACACAAACCTTTCTGCCATACTTTATGAGACATAATAGAGCATGGGTATGGCCATTCACAGTCATAGTGTGATCATAGCGTGATCATAGTGTTCAAGGATCTTCAAGGATTTTGCCTCCTTCTTCACTGACAAAATTCAGAAAATTAGACAAGCAGTCAGTGCCTCTACATCAGGTACAGCAAATGTGTTGTCCCTGTGTCCACCTAATATCAATTCAAACACCATGACACAATTCCATCAGATTAATGATAAAAACTTAGAGGACATTATTCAACTTCTGAAATCCTCCTCCTGCTGCCTTGATATTATTCCAACAGGATTTTTCAAAGATGTTTTTCCTTGCATGGCCTCAGATCTACTTCATATAGTAAACACATCTCTTCACTCAGGTATTTTTCCACAGGCCCTGAAAACTGCAGTCATTAAACCGCTCTTAAAAAAGAATAATATCGATGCTTCAGTAATGAACAATTACAGGCCAATATCAAACCTGCCATTTTTAGGTAAAATCATTGAAAAAGTTGTATTTCAACAGTTGAGTAACTTCTTGCATTTAAATAACTGTTTGGATGTGTTCCAGTCAGGATTTCGTCCAAACAACAGCACTGAGACTGCTCTTGTAAAGGTCTTCAATGACATCCACTTAAACACAGACAGTGGCAGAACTTCAGTGTTAGTATTATTAGATCTCAGTGCTGCGTTTGACACTGTTGACCACAACATATTACTAGACCGACTAGAAAACTGGGTGGGACTTTCGGAAACAGTTCTAAATTGGTTTGAGTCCTACTTAAAGGACAGAAAAAAGTTTGTTTCTATAGGTAAATACACATCTGAGTTGACAAATATGACATGTGGGGTACCTCAAGGCTCCATCTTGGGGCCTCTTCTCTTTAACATCTACATGCTACCACTGGCTCAGATAATGAAAAACAACAAAATAAGTTACCATAGCTATGCGGATGACACACAAATTTACGTGACAATTTCACCAGGAGATTATGCTCCAATTCAAACACTGAGTAAGTGCATTGAACAAATCAATGACTGGATGTGTCAGAACTTTCTCCAATTAAACAAAGATAAAACTGAGGTAATGGTTTTTGGAGCCAAGGCAGAACGTATAAAAGTTAGCGCTGAGCTTCAGTCTGCAATGTTCAAAACAACAGATAAAGCCAGAAATCTAGGTGTAGTCATGGACTCTGACCTGAGTTTCAACAGTCACATTAAAACAGTTACTAAATCAGCCTACTATCACCTAAAGAACATATCTAGGATTAAAGGACTAATGTCACAGCAGGATTTGGAAAAACTTGTCCATGCTTTTATCTTCAGTAGACTCGACTACTGCAATGGTGTCTTTACAGGCCTCACTAAAAAATCTATTAGAAAGCTGCAGCTGATTCAGAACGCCGCTGCTCGAGTCCTCACTAACACTAAGAAAGTGGATCACATCCCTCCTGTTCTGAAGTCCTTACACTGGCTTCCTGTGTGTCAAAGAATAGATTTCAAAATACTGCTGCTGGTTTATAAAGCTTTGAATGGTTTAGGCCCAAAATACATGTCTGACCTCCTGCTAAATTATGAACCATCCAGATCTCTCAGGTCTTCAGGGACTGGTCAGCTTTCTGTCCCCAGAGTCAGAACTAAACATGGAGAAGCAGCATTCAGTTATTATGCTCCAAATATCTGGAACAAACTCCCAGAAACCTGCAGGTCCGCTGCAACTCTTACTACTTTTAAATCCAGGCTGAAGACTTTTCTTTTTGCCGCTGCTTTTAATTGAACTATTCACATCTTAAACTGCACTGTAACTTTTATCCATGTATTTTTTCTTTTAATGTTTATTTTATTATCTTTTATTTTTAATGACTGATTTTAAATGCCATTTTCTTAATGTCTTCCATTTTTGTAAAGCACTTTGAATTGCCTTGTGTTGAAAGGTGCTATATAAATAAACTTGCCTTGCCTTCTACACTGTAAACTTTTACATTTGAAATGCGTCTTACCAAAAAGTCTATAAAACCTTCCATATTCAGGGTCTCAACTTTTAGATGATGTATACCACTGATATTTGGCATGTCCTTTTGACATGCGATCTCCCCCTAAAGATCCCCTGTCCCACTCGCAAAATAAGACAAAAATATGTTTTATAAGGGTTAATGCTGTGATAGGCTCTAAGTTGTCTTTTTTTTAAATTAATCTTATCTTTAAGTTGGTTTTCTGGTAGATCCAGAAAAATGTCCCCACATAGGGCTTAGGCAATCTCTTGATTGATGCAGCGATTAGCCAGTGATAAATGGGTCTTCAGTATCTGAGGTCTCAACAGGGCATATCTGCCTGTGTGGCTTAGACTTCCCGTCTCCGAGCTAACGGGCTCACTGTGTAGACTCACCATGACATCCTGGAGATAAAACAGCCAAAGAACTGCTGAGCCAGGGCCTGGGCCAGACAGCGACGTGTCTGCGGGGTCTGGTCTATGATCATAGAGCTGTGGAGCAGGTTGGTGCTGAAAACAAAACCAACAACTCCAGGTGAGACAGAATCAGACACAGTACATGAATATAGTATGACAAAAACACTGTTGTTGTTGTTTATAAAGCATTGAATGATATAGGGCCAAAATATATTTCTGATCTCCTGCTACATTATGAACCATCCAGAAATCTCAGGTCTTCTTGGACGGGTCTGCTTTCTGAGTCAGAACTAAACAGTGAGAAGCAGCATTCAGTTATTATACCCCAAACATCTGGAACAAACTCTACTATTTAAATCCAGGCTCAGGACTTTTCTTTTTGCCGCTGCTTTTAATGGAACTATTCGTATCTTACACTGCACTGTAACTTTATTCTTGTATTTTATGAGAGTCTCATGCCTACCTGAAGATACTCATGGAAGCATAGGAGGACACTTGTACGTAGGCCTCGTCCACAAACACAGTCTTGAAGCAGGCATAAGGGTAGCGGCATGTCAGAATCTCCTCATAGAACTCAAAGATCTCATGCAGGTAAGACATGGAGTGTTTGAGCAGGGGCAGCAGCTGTGGCAGGCAGAAGTGGGTCACCTGGGGGGGGGAGGCAGGCAGGACAATATTAGAGTTAATTCTTCGGAATATTGCACCAAAGAAAAGGGGGAAATGTTCAGAAATTCATTTACAAAACTGTGTTTCTATCATCTGTTATATTCTGTGTAGTTTAATGACAGCTACCCTGACAGGATAACAATAACCCTATTGTTTTCCTTTACTGCATCACTACCATCACTACCAGTGGTGGGAAGTTGCTAAGTACATTTGTTCAAGTACTGTACTTAAGTACATTTTTAAGATACATGTATACAAGTATTTCTTTTTTATGCTACCTTGTGCTTCTACTCCAATACATTTTGAAAGCAAATATTGTACTTTTTACTCTACTACATTTATATCACAACATTAGTTACTACCGGTAGTTACTTTTGCAGGTTCATATTTTTTTTATACAAAAATGTAATTAAACTAAAGCATTATGATGTATTATTATGGATGGAAATACCTGGCAGTCTAAAAAAGTAATTAAACTTCTCTCCAGCTTTACAAGCTGCAAAATCAAATGTTAAACTCGTTAATGGATATCTAAATATAATCCAATGATAAAAAATATAGTGTTCTAAAATGTACTGTCAATACTTTTGTACTTTTACTTAAGTAACTTGAATGCGGGACTTTTAGATGTCCCACTTCAACATGTCGTAGCAGAGTATTTCTACAACGCGGTTTTATTACTTTTACGTATAACATCTGAGTACTTCTTCCACATCTGATCACTACACCTTACACAGGCGGCAAGTCCATTTCCACCACTACACTTTTTTCAACTCATCTTCAATACAGCTACATTGTGTTTAGGGACATCTAGTGGTCATTAAGTAGAACATACAAGGATGGATAACATATTACTGCATTACACAGATACCATGAATATATATAAACATTTAATCCTGCGTCTCTGTGTTAATGTTTAACATTAAATCTTACTCTTTCCTCTTCCTACGTTATTATCATAAAGTGGGCATGTCTGTGGAAAGAAGATATGTGGTTACCCAAAATGTAACCTGACTTTGGAGCCTTACTGAGCCTTCTTCCTGACATGACATGAACCACTAGATTCTTTAGGTTTTTTTCTAGTTCCATATAATACTGGTGTCTTCAATCTAGATTTTAAGAGATTAAGTAAAAGCAGATGTTTTGTAAAATAATCACAATTTACCTTACGCAGTTCAAAAACAATTAATGTAGACATCTAAAAAGTGGACTTTTGCCATTACTGGATTCATACAGTGAGGCCATCCAAGTTTCCCCACACCTCCTCAACTCATTTTTTTTAAATTGTATTTTTTATTTCTCTCATGTCTGCTTCCATTTTTGTATAAACTACGTGGATTCAGCTGAAGGAAAGATGTAAACAAAAAAACAGTAGAGAAAAGTGTAGATAGGTTTGTTTAAGTTGCCAAAGCTAAAATAAAAAACTAAACAAACATTGATTTAGGGCTAACTACATGCAGAAATATAATCATTTGGAACTGTTTCTGGTCACTGCAAACCCACCTCATGCATGTAGGGATCTACAAGGATTTCAAATGGCCCCACAGCTAGGGAGATGTTGGGGGCCGCGGTGGGGATGGGGAGGATGTAATGGTAGGTCTTCTTCCTCATGTCATTAGTGTAGATGGTCTCCACCAGATCTCCACAGGACACCGCCACCATGGAAGCATCCACGGTGAACTCCAGCTTCCATGTGCACAGCTCTGAGTAGGAGTCCACACAGGGGAACCAGAATCTGGGGGGGACAATATAATGAGTTATGCAAAGACCATTGGTATCATGGAGCTAGTGTGGGTCTGCATTACAGCACAGGAAATGCATGAGTGAGACAAATAGTAAAGGTTTAATGGTTGTTACAAAACAGGCTACATGTAGGAGGCTTAATGACTGTATACTTAAGATGGATAACGGTGTGAGAATTAAAAAAACATTGCACTATAAATAAGTAGCATGGCAATATCTCATCATTAAAGCACTGCGGTCAAGATGGACATTCGTTTTTTCCCTTGTAACCTCTGCTGTGCTTTGTGCCTGGATTCGTTTTATTTTTGTTACACTGTGACCACAGGTTGAGAATCTATTGTATCGATTCATTCATTACATGTTCATATCACTTTGGGAAAAGCAGCACTCAATCTAACCTGAACGGAATAACAATGTGAAAAGGCAGCTTGAGACAAAGGCTGAACACATCTGACCTTCTCCCCTCATTACACCAAGACACATGACAGACATCTGGACAGAGTCTCTTCCTGTGGGCCATAGCTAAGATCCAGGACACATTTTCAGCATGTAGTGGCTGAATTATAGACAGCTAGGATGTTTAATGTCATAAAAAACTAATCTTGTCACTTGTAGCTTTAATGGCACTGCATTTAAGTGGATGGACAAATGCATGTGGCAGCACAAAACATGGTTTATCTCCAGGTTTAATGTTGCTTTTTGACTGATCTAGGGCTGGGCAATATCTATATTATATCTGGATCTGGATATAAAACTAGATATCGTCTTAGATAAAGTAATATCGCATAAGTGTCTTTTCTTGTTTTAAGGCTGCCTTAAAGTAAAGTGAAGTAATTTTCTGAATTTTAAAGACTTAGCTTAGTCATTAAAACAAACCACACTATTTATGATTATTTATCGAAACTCTCTGTGAAAATATTTTGTGAAAGCATCAAAGATCGACCCTACAATGTTGTCACTATTTTGGTATCCAGGTATTTGGTCATAAATGTTGTGTTCTTTAATCTATTCCATATAGCCCAGCCCTACAATAATGTTGATAATTGAATCATTATTTGTCCTTTATGAAGTAAAAAAAGGTCAAACGGTCAATAAGTGATGTCAATTTCTGAATTGACCACACGGTTCTAGGTTTTCTATCGTGTGTATGTACCCACGTAGCCTTTATATCAACATAATTAATGATGACATCATCTATTTATTTATAATTACAAAGTCAACCATACAATATGGTGACATTTGATTGTCTCCATATAGCCCAGCCCTGCAGTGTAAATAATGGTTCGCCTTGTTTGCAGACCTGGTGGAGTTCTGGTATCCGAAGGAGAAAACGTGAGCCCCTCTCTCCGCCATGCTGCCTTCCACATCCGGAACGACGAAGTGAAGACCTCCTTTTGGCTGGTCCAGGGAAAACTCTATGTACACCTTTAAAACTTTCAACTCTGGAGGAACATGAAAGAAAAACTGTCAGTCCTGCACAACCTCCCAAATGTTGCACATTGTAGCCAAGCTACCTCTTATATCTGCACGGCTTTCCAATTGTCATACCAATACTGCACATATTTTACTTTAATTTATTCTATTTTACTTTTAATGGCTGTATCTATATTTAATGTAAATATTGCTATATTTTAATGTTATAATAGTTTTCTTTAAATAGTTTTTTTATAATGGTTTTATTTTGTTGGTCCTTTCTTACTATTTATATTCTTTAACTGTGTTTAGATACGTATGTGTAACCTACTTGGGAGTAAACCTGTTCTGATTTTGATTCTGTAGTATCAGGCATTCATTCATAGTAACATTGCTGTCAATTATCGGTGTGGACGGCCAGCAACATCATTTGTTGTATTCCAGGGAAATGTGTTAATATACCTCATGTCAGGCAAGAAATCAATCTGATGAAGATGATGGAATTTAAAAGGACCTAAGATTATGAGTCTTTGATTTTCAAGGGAAACATGATCCAAAAACCTATTTCTTGATTTTCAGTGGCCTTTGTGCCATGGTCTTACCGTCCCCTTGTTTCCAGAGCTCAGAGGGAACTTTGATGACGAGCTCGCCATGTCCTGCATCAGGATCCACAGCACTCACTGCTGCAGTGTAGGCACTAGAGAAGTAGTTGAGGTTCCTCCTAACAGACACACAAAACATTTAAACAAAGTGATTAAATCACCACCAAACAGGTTCTTTTAAAGTAGGCGGACAATGGTATTTATAGTAACATGACCAGACCTGGTGAAATGTGACGGTTACAGGAGTCAAAATTCGAAAAATAATTTGTTTTCTCTTAAATACTTTCTAAATAATAGATGTGAGTTTCTTCTCCATGCCTCGCCATCACAACAACTTTTCTCAAAGCTATTCTGGTGACAGGATATCTGAAATACTAATTTAGTAAGATGTCAAAACGTATTGCCAGAAATGTAACAAATGAACCTTCCGACACAACTTTCAGTTGGAACATTTTCTGGCAGTTCAATTAAGACATTGCTTACAGATGGAGACCCAGATAGCTATCCAATTTTTGTTGTAAATTAAATATTCAAAATATTAAGATAATTTCTATTTCTAGAAATCCTCGAGGTGTCTTTTACAATGGGATCAATAAGAAGGATTTTGAAATGTCATATCAAATTGTATGCGGCAGGTAGTTATTAGTTAATATAACAGTCCTGAATGAATATGTATGTTGTCATGGCTGTGGTACAGGAACATTGATGCATCAACTGTTGCACTGTCAAACAGTAAAAAGGTTTTCTTTATAGATTTACTGGACAGTAAAGTGAAGATAATAAACGTTTAATTGATGCAACATTTAAATTGTCCAGCATATCTCTCTGTGAAGAAGTCACTCTCATTCATTGTATAGTGAGGAAACCGTCTGAGTATGGAAGACTGGATTAAGAGCAAGGAGCCACAACTCTTTCAGAAATAAGGTGGACTAGTTGATTACAGAAGGTCATTCATGAACACCGTTAACAATCTATCTAAACGACCTTGATTAGTCAAAGATGAGCAAAGAAAAACTGTTTATGAAATATATAGTGCTTTTTGCCCCTCCTTGCGTCCAGGTTGCTCTCTTGCATGTGTTTTCTATCTTTGCTGAAACAAAGATGATGTTTGGTTTGACTGTCTGTCAGTGATAAAGGTTAAACTGTTGATGCTCTGCACTCTCTGCCCTGGGGTATTTTCTGGACAGTGTGGCTGCTTCCTGACCCTTTTTGGGGTTTTCAGGTTAATGCTCCTGACAATTGGTCTTTGTCTTATTAAATTACACTAACCTTGTTTCAAGGATTAAGGCATACAACATTCAGTATTCAGTATATAATCTGTACTCCACTGAAATGTGGAAAGCCATACTCACTGCTTGGACTCATGGTGGCACACCTCCAGTGTAGGGTCATTGTAAATGAATGGTGCTTCCAGTTCATTGACTCGGACCCTGTAGATGCGGCACTGTTTGCTGTTAAGCTTGATCCGGTTCAGGTTGACCACCGTGGGGAAAATGGTCAGCTCAACAAAGCCCTGAGGGATGCAAACAGAGGAAGAAGTTGGTAACGACGGACATCAGTGGTCAACAGTTACTGAAGTAAAGTTCACTGTCTGAATCATATAACCTGCATTGGACCATTTTTTCATCTAGAAATGTTCCAAACACAATTCTCTATGCTGGTTTATCACAGCAGCAAGTCTTTGAGTGCATTGTGATTTATGTTTCACATAGATAGAAACCTTTGTTGTCATTTTATAGAAAATACATTGAAATTGAAGTTACGTACCAGTGGTGCTTAAAACACACCCACATACACAACTATTTGCAAACAATAAAAAAAAGACAAGCAATAAAAGACAAAAACAAGAATAAGAGTACAGTAAAAGTGTAATTTCTGTAACACAGTAACATGCTTTAGTCTGTCACATAGACCTACATAATATCTAGCAAATACCAATAATAAAGACCATTTGAATAATTCCCTAAAGTGTTTCAGTCTAAGGTTTTAAAGGCAGTATGCAGTTGTATTTTAAATGCAGTTCGTCATTCTTCCTGTTTAAATGGGTGCAATGTGAATAGGTGTATAAGTGGACAAGAAAGCAGTTATATCTATAGTCTGTTCGATATATATCATAACAAGGGGGTCAGTAACTGGATGGAATCAAGTGGGTGTAATAACAGCCAGCTGCAGAGGTGGAAGAAGTACTCAGATCTTGTACTTGAGTAAAAGCAGAAGTACCAGAGTGTAGGAATACTGTTCAGTAAAAGTCCAGCATTCAAAATGTTACTCAAGTAAAAGTAGAAAAGTATTATCATCAAAAGATACTTAAAGTAACAAAAGTAAAAGTAGTCATTGTGCAGATTGGTCCATTTCAGAATAATATATATGATATGTTTTATAATGATTGATCATTAAAGTGTTCTCAAAGCTGGAAAAGGTGCAGCTAGTTTGAATGACTTTGTATACTGCAGGGTAGCTTGTGAATTTACTCCAGGTGGAACTAAAGTCTGATTTAAGACTTGATTATATTTCACATCATTAATCCAAATCTGTAAAGTAACTGAAGGTATGAAATACATGTAGTGGAGTAAAAGTACACCATTTACCTCTGAGTTATATTGGAGTAGAAGTACAAAGTAGCAACACATTGAAATACTTAAGTAAAGTACAAGTACCTCGAAATTGTACTTTGGTAAAGTACTTGAGTAAATGTACTTAGTTACTTTACACCACTGACCAGCTGTTTTCTGTCCAACAACAGCAGAATGACCTATGACAATAACGTTAGACTGTAACTTGTGTACTCACAATGACAGACTTTCTCTGGAAGTTGATGTTGTTGATGCACACCACCTGGTGGGTCGTAAAAACAATAACAGAAAAACAATCTCAGTATTCGATGTGAACTAAACTAGATACTCATTCAGTCAGCGGATAACGGTCTTTGTACTTTAAGAAACTCTGCTGCCTGTGAGTTACTCTGTGCAAACGTTAAGCTACCGTTACCTTTGCTTCAGTATGGAACATTACTGCAAATAATGTAATGCCTACAAGTATGGTATTAAAGGAAAATACTTATAATTTAAAGGGGCGCGGGCTCTCAAAGCCCTTGTCCTTCTTCTTGTTCATCCTCTTGTCTCTGTTGTGTTGACTAAAGTTTCAACATGCCGGAACTCTGCTCCTTGTATTGGTGCTTCGTCTCACCAGCCGTGAGGGGCTACTTCCACATGCATGCAGACTGCCGAGAGTAGAACAAAAATATGCCCCTTTGGATGTAAAAAGACAACTTACAAAACGTGTGCTATATGTAACGGTATACCGAGGCTCTGAGTCAGAGGCAAGCAGTACTTTAATGTCACTGACTCTGTAATGAATGCTTTATATTCAGGTTGTGTCGCCCGGAGACTGCTGTAGTGTTTTTATTGCAACCTCAGTGGACGTATTCATTAATAAAAGTCGGCCATGACTACCAATCGTATTAAATAGAGAATAGATCCATATAATGTTGCCTGCGGTAGTCGTGGATCAAAACATCGAGATATATCCTCATTATCCGGCTGCTGATAGAATTGAGTTCGCGGCCGCAGTGTGTGCAGCCATTTTGTTAGTAACCTTTGAACTCCCGCGTAAAAATGACAACAAATACTTTTTCTTCAATATATTTTTTTATATACCTATCACTTGGTAAGCATACAAACTGTAATTGATGTATAATTATTTCTAAAACAAATGCAAATTAATCTTATTTATTTATTTAAAAACTCATGCTACGTCACTTCCCACTTCCGGCTTTTCTAGAAATGCACGAGCTTTGCGAGAGCGCGCATAACCCATGTAAAGAATGGGAACTGATATTCGGGGGGAAAAAGTGTAATGTAAAGTACGATAAAGCCTTCTACCAAGTGTGTCTGTAGGCTACTAAGAACAACTCAATGTTTTTACCATCACTTATTTAAAGCATCTTTGACAGCCTATATTCATAAAAGTTTCTCTAACACTGATATTGTTTTATTTATTACATTCACATAACAATCTCAATTTCCTACAAGCTTTATTCTTTTTTTAAATAGCAGAGGGAATTTTCACCTCGTTAAAATATTTTCAAATCTACATAATGTATAGCTTTTCTACGTGTTTTCGACAATAATACCTTTTAGTGATTTTGAAATGCCATTAAAAAATATTCTTTAAGGTTCAATGTCCATGCGTTTACCAAACCAAAGATATGGTCAGCACCTCTACTACTGGATACATACAATCTAAATTAACAGTAATTAGTTAAACGAGCCCCAGTTCAGAAGAACACGTTGTATTAAGAGACAGGAAGTGCCAGGGCTTCTCAGTTGAGTTAATGGTTAATAAAGGGAAGGTGGGTCCCCAATAAAATGTGTATTTTTGACAAATTCTATTGTTAAATTTGCATTTTGTGTTATATAGTTATACATTTGGCATGTATTCTTTAATCTAATATTATCAAGTAAAATGTCAAATGTTATTACAAAATCTAATGAGGTATAATGAACATGAGTTGGGTCAGAACATGATGTGTCTAACTTAGTTCAAACATTAAACTTGACCTACACAGCTCTGGACTTTTTTAAAACCTTGTCCCTTCCATGAAAGTAAATCTTCCTAAATGGCAACTGAGAGAACAAGAGTGTTTAACTGTTGTTGTGACGTTGGGTTATAAAGGACCGGTGTCTGCTGTTGAAATCAAAAGTGAAATGCCAGTCGACTTTACGTGCTCCTATGTTGTGCTCGTGCTCTTACTGTATGTCTGGCCTAACCCTAACCCTCTACCCAAGTCTGGTTACGCAAACATTAGATGCTGAAAGTTATGTGCCAAACCACTTGATATCCCATTGCATATCCTTTGAGTTCCATCTTGGAATGTGTTGGCTGTAACTCTGTTAATATCTCTTGCGGCATTATGCGTGTATTTCAACGTTTTCAAGATTCTAACTTTATTTCTCATACATACCTAAGCCGATAACAAATCAATTGCCACAAAGGCATAACGTTGCCATGCAATGATGCACAAAGCAAAGGTTTGTTGTAAAAATACCATCAGACATTCAAATCAACCAATCATCTACCATGGCTGATGTTAGCAGCCAGGGAGTAGCACTGTTTTAGCCAACGCAACCTGGATGTGCAGGGTCCCTTTGCGGTTCTTCAAGATGATTGACTGGGATTGACCTGCCCAAACAAGGGGAATTATTCTTTAAATGGGTCCGCCATTGCCTGTTCATGAATTTTTATTTGGCACAGAAAAATTAAGATGTGCACAGGCCTATATAAAAAGACTGTGTGATTGCCTGTCTTGGCGCAGCAGATTCAGTCCAGATTAACAGAGTTCTAGCTCCCGTGTTACTTGTAGGTTTGCCCTTTTGAGCAAAGTTCAGAGGCCAGTTCACTTAAGAGTGGCAACTTTTGGAACAAAACAACTTGATTGCTTGTCCAAGCTGGGGAAAATGTTCTAAGTGATGCCATGTTAATTTGTTAAAGCTATATTTTGCTTGTTTCTGATGTATTGGGCACCATGGAAAGCAGATTTAGGTGCTAAAGTGTGGTTTCTGAAGACAACTTCTGAGGTTGAACCGAGGGGTTACATATGGTAACCCTTGTTATATAAACACAGGCGGAGCCCTCTACTGGACTCTATTGCGGCTTTCACACCAGCGCTTTTCCCTTTCCAGCTCCTAGCTAGAGCTTTTCTGGTTCAGCTCCGGTTTCCCTTTTCAGCTCCCGCTCTGTTCACACCGCCCAGCTGCCGCTGCTGCGTCATGACATCACCGTTTACATCGCTGATTTTCTCCCCAATGGAGCTCACAACAACAACGGGGGGGGGGGGGGGGGGGACTGCGTCGGGTCGATGATCGTGTTGCTTTTAATCATACGAAGCCAGATTAAATTAAATAACGACTTCTCCAACCTTATACTTTTCTCCAGAGTGCCGTGGTTCATTGTTTATTAATGTGTTTCAGCTGCATTTACCGACCGCTGCAGTGCTGGCTGCTCTTCCACGAGTTTATTCTCCCGTTAGCTCCGGGTTAGCTCACACGGCTCTAAAGTATTCACTGTCTGACTGTCACACAAGCAGCTGCTACATATCCCCAGTTCCCCTTAAGTGAATGTGTGTCAGTCTGAATTGACGCTGTTTGGCATCACAACGCTGTTATGAAAGTGTCTCTGGTATAACATGGGTGATGTTAGCATAGCAACCGAAGCTAAACTGACTACTTGCTAAGCCGTTTTCTACAGGCACATTTTACCGGCGTATTTTTCAGTATGATTCTACTTGTGATAGTCAGACATGACTGCTTGTAGGCAGGCATGACGAGACTCTTCAGTCGACCCATGTTCAGGGGAGGTGGGTTTAGTTTCCTGCACGCCTCGACGTAAGAGAGACGTAAGCGACGCCGCGTCATAGCTCCGAAGCTCTTGCCTCTAGACCGACAATTTTTTGGAGCTGGAAGTGAACCGCATTCCTGAGCTATGACGCGGCGCCGCTGCGGTGTGAACAGGAAAAAACGGTGCTTTTCCAGCTCCAGCTCCGAGCCGGAGCTGGAAAAGCGCCGGTGTGAAAGGGGCATATGGGTACTTCCCCTTGATCCTATCATGCAAGCATTCATCCACTGAGACATTCTAGACATAGCCGGCCCCGAGCCGGCCTACCTGAATGCGCGCGCATCTCACCGTATAAAAGGAGGCCTCGCCTCCTGACTGTCATCCTACACTTCTCTTCAGCAAGCAGCATAGGACAGACAGGGCCCTGAGTAGAGGGCTCCGCCTGTGTTTATATAACAAGGGTTACCATACGTAACCCCTCGTTATATCTCTCACAGGCTCCGCCCTCTACTGGACTCTATGGGTACAGCACGGAGCACCGATGTATACACGCGCTGTCGTCCCACAACAACACTGTTGTTTCACTGTTTCTGACCGGCTTTCTGGTTAGCAGCCGCTGCACCTCACTCACCTCTCCCTCGGGAGCACTCTCATAATAACGTAATATATAACACAATCAGAGACTGGATATATCCCCCCCCACCCCCCCAGCGACCCCTCTCTGGTCGCTGAAATGGGGAATTGAAATTACGGGCCAAAAGTTTTATTTACAAGTTTTAAAAGTAACGTAGGACTGGTGAGGAGGGAGGGGGGCTGTGGGTCAGTGGGCATCTGACCCCCTCCGTAATGCGTCATGCGCTTACGTTTTTTCGTGACGCGCACATGGGCCCATAGGGGCTGGAGGACTCTTTCCCCCTGCTTTAGGGCAGGGGGGGGGGGGGAGTCCTCCACGTCATAGCACACCTCCGCGGGGTAAGCGCGTCAGGGTGTGCTCTGTCAGCCGCAGCCTCAATTTTCTCCACGGGCCCGGCGGCGTGCGTTGCCGCTTCAACGCTTCTGCCCATTCACTTTGAATGGGGTGACGTCACGCTTCGCCGAACTGCGTTGTGGGAGCAGTGCTCGCTGCAAAAGTAGAGCAATGTTCTACTTTTGAAGCTTCGACGGAGGCGTCAGCCAATCAAATCCCGCGTATGCAAATCTGCCAGTACAAGCGCTAGCCAATCAAACCGCGTGTATGTTGGGAGAGCCATACCGCAGTTCATTTCCCATATGTCAAAAAATGGAGTAGAAAATAATCGTGGCAGTAGGGAATCACCCGGTGCTATACGACCAGTCCCTCTTTACCTACCGGGATATAAACCGGAGGAGCCAGGCATGGAGGGAGGTGGCAGAGACAGTGGGTGAAACTGGTAGGTTTATATCCAGTGTTCGTTTGAATGGACAGCTAGCAAGCATAGACAGTATATTTAGCCAGCATGGAATGTTGCATAAAATAGCACCATAGACATTAATGTCATACATTTTCATCATATAAAGTGTGACATGTAAAACCTTTTATGCAATTGAGTGATAAAGGGATTTGGTTTTCATTAATGGAGGAACAATTTAGTAAATTCTTCAAGTAATTCAAGAAATTAACTTTATTATTTCATTTAATTTCATTAGAGGAATTATGCAGGACAAAATGGAAGTCACTGAGGGACAGGTTCCGCAAGGAGAAAACCAGGGAGAAAGAGGCAAAGAGAAGCGGGGCAGGGTCTTCCGGGGGATATAAGCCCTGGCGTTTCACGGCAGTGATGGGGTTTTTAACCCCATTTATCATTGACCGTGAGACGCCCAGCAATGTCCCCCGGCAAACCCTGCCTCCATCCAACCTGATGCCAGAGGCAGAGAGCCAGCTAGAAAGCCAGCTAGAAAGCCAGCCAGCCAACAGTCAGCAAGCCAGCCGACAGTCAGCTAGCCCAGGCAGGGGAGACAGGACAGGAGGAGGTGGCGATTGTTGAGGACCGGGACCGGGGAAAAAGGAGAAGGGGAAGGGAGATGTCCTCCTTTGAAAAAGGCTTGATGTCAGCCATCAGTCCTCTGCTCATGCCACCACCTCAACCTCATCCTCCACCACTCCCGCCAGTAGTGGTGGAGGATGAGGACGAGTTATTTTTCAGGAGCCTCTTGCCTGCCATGCGAAGGATGTCAATTTCAAAGAGGGCAAGAGTGCGGTTTCAAATCCACAAAGCCATTTTTGAAGC